AAGATGCAACGGCTTGCCGCATTGCCTCAACGATGAAAGGAGAGCACACCTCTCTCGTTGCAACGATCACGCGGGTTTGCTAACGTCGAGCTACGCCGCTTGGCAGGTCGTCTTTCTTTTTCATGGAGTTCCCTCCCCTTCCCCCCTCCCCAACACACACACGCTCTCTCCAACAGCACTGAGAGGTCTTTTGGAGCCGCGTGGCCTTTACCGTACCGCGGCATTTTCCATCAAAAGCTGGCGCGTCGGTCTCTGTGTCATCATGCGCTGTGCGCGTGCGTGTTCGTGTATGTGTGCTGTGCTGTTCCACCTCCTTTTCAAAAAAAAAAGGCGTAGAACAACAGCGATGCGCGTCGGCGCCTCCGCCTTCAACTCTCCAAGTTGCATGTGCAAGAGCGAGCTTATTTGCTTGAGATTTTTCTTCTTCTTTAAATCAATAGAACATCTTCTCTTTATCTCCCTTCTTCCTCTTTGTAGGAGCTGCTTTGTTTTTCCGCAGGACATTCACACGCCTCCCAGAGCTGCCGTGATGACCGTCTCTGTTCGCCCTCTTCGCTTTTCTTTTCTTTGGCGGCTTTCCTCGCGTTCCCCGGGCGACAGGACGGACCCAACAGGGCGTCGACGCCGCCGCACCGCGGGAGCGAGAAGCGCTGAAAACAAGAAAAGAAAACGGAGATCAATAACTTGGGGGAGGAGCGCGCACGGCAGGAAGCACCACCAACAACAGCAAGCAAGCAAACAAGCAAACCAGCCGAGCTTCACCGCCGTGACGATCTTCGTGTCAACACACAGGCACACACACACACACACACACACAGGTACAAACGAAACAGCGACACCAAAGGAAAGGAGAAGAAAAATAAAGGAGATACTTTATCATTATACTGGAGCACACCAAAACGGCCAGCCAACAGAGAACACATAGATAATAATAAAAACTTAGATAATTCATTAATAACACGCTTAGATGCACCTCAGCTACACAATTACACACACCCACTCACCCTCCACAACCCTTTGCACAACAACCAAATAAGAAAACCACCATGAGAGACCGTCCAAGCACTCCTTCTCCGCACACACACACACACACACACACACATGTATGAACACTCGCACTCCATGCAACGTGTCATCCGTGGTGTGGGTATCATCAACAGGTTAGGCACGGCCACCTAATGTACTGCAGCGCAACCCGCACCCATCTCCGCCCCAAAACTCGTTTTCCAACTTACAACAACAAAACAACCTCTCCGGGTCAGTAATTCCTTCCTTCTTATCGTTACAGCGTCATGGCCGCACGCTGGCGGGAGCGCTTCTCGATCTGCGCGCTGAAGGTGGCCGAGCCTGCCGCCGTCACCGTGCGCGTCGCCGTGCACACGTTACAGCGCAGCTCCAACCGGCGACCGTCCTTCGTCAGCGTGGTGTCAATGCGATGGCACGAGTTGCACTTCACATACTCGTCCAGATACTTGATCAACACCCGATCAAAGTCTGTCTGCTTGCGGATCTCAAACTTCAAAATGAGGGCGTTGTTGCTGTCGAGGTTGCCGCGAATGGAGAGCTCCTTCTCGATAAAGTCCTTCACGTCCTCCATGGGCCGGTGGAAGGCCTCGCAGATGCGGCCGAAGTTTGCAATCACCGTCTTCTTCTTGCCCATGCGCTCCAGGATCGGCACCGGGACCTGGTTGCGCTCCGTCATGGCGCTGCTCTCGTTGTTGCGGTTCAGCGCCTCGAAGAGCCGCGTCAGCATCGCATTGTAGCGATAGCCCTCGACGGGGTCGGCGTCGCTAGAGTTCGCCCCTGCTGCCGCGGCGGCGGTGGCATCCGCAGATGGGCTCGCTGCCAGGTCCAAGAAGCGCTCCACACGCTGCCCCTGCTGCTGCTGCATGGTGCTCTCTATCTGCTGCTCCCGCTGCGCCATCAACTCCTCCAGCACGGGACGACTCACTTGCTTCATGAGGGCGAGCAGGGCGGTGTAGGTCAGCGCGTCGTAGTCGATTGTCTCCTGCAGATTGGCCAGGTCCTTCCCGTTGGGGGCGAGGGCTGAGGCGTGTGCGGCCGCCGCTGCCGCTGTTGCAGCGTCTGTGGCCTTCGCCGCTCCCGCGCCCTCCTGCTCCTCGCCCTCCTGCGCAGCCACCGGCGCGGGGGCAGTGACGCTGTTGGTGTTATTGCTGTTGCTTGCAGCAGCAGCAGCGGGGTCGGCGTGTGTCGGCGGCTTCACCAGAGCCGCCGGCGGTGCCTTCGCACGAGCGCGGGTAGGAGCGACGGGGACCTCAGGGGCAGTGGCGCCGGTCGCCTGTGTGTTGGTGGTGGTCGTCTGCTGCTGCTCGTCCTCGCCGCTGCTTTCATCATCGTCAGCGTTGCGGCGACGGCGTCCGGTTTCGCGGGGCATTTCGAGAGGTATGAAGAAAAAGTAGTAGTTCGCAAACACAACAGAATATGGTAAGATACGCTGGCTTTTGTTTTTGCTTTTAGATGGCGTTGCTGATTCGAGATAGAGAGAGAGAACGATAGAGGGACAGATACATAGGGCAGGTGGTGACAGAGTCCGCAAGAGAGCAGGAGCAGCCGCGCTGCGATGAACGTTTTCCATTCATCAGTTAACGCGGTTGCCTGCTGGAAGGATTTCGGAAAATTCAAAAAGAAAAACAGGAAAAAAAAACTTACGCGCGCGAGCTACGCTGACTTTCTTCGATTCACATGTCGGCACTTCGCAATAAGCGTCCGTGAACAGAGACAACACACCCATGCGCCTTCGCGCCCGTTCGTCGGTGGCGAGCACGCTCTTCTCGCGCATGTAAGAAAACTGTTAAGCTTTCTCTTTTTCCTCTCCACCCTTTCCCCGCTCGCTGCATTCAGTGGCACCGCATCGCTTCAGAGTTCCTCGTGTTCTGTCGGAGTGGCTGTCGCTGACAAAAGTAGAGAAACAGCTAGAAGAAAGATAAAACCCGCCTTTTCCGGTAGGCCCGCCATGAAGAGAGGGAGAGAAAAAAAAAGAAGGGCTCACAGGACCACCAATCATCTCCCACGGTTTCACGCCACCCCACAAACCATCACCACCAACCACAGAAACTAAAGAAAAAACCACGTACACACCGGTGCCAACCAACACGAAAAAAAAATACGAAGGCACTTTTGCATTAACGCAGATTAAGAGCGTGAGGGGGTGCGTTGCACCGTCTACCTCCCCTACACACCCCCTCAGTCCCTCATCCCCCACTCACTCGGGAACAACACGCCTCCTCCCCTCTCCCCTCTCCTCCTCCTTAACGAGTACATTTACAGCAGGAAATGCGTGTCGGATAGCTTTCGCCATCACGATGCTGGTCTTTGTGGGTGTGGCGCGACACCCACCATGACTCGCTCCCTTCTACCAGAGATACATATAAATATATGAATAAATATCCCTCGCTCTTCCTCCGCCCCGCTTTTCCAAGGATGCGGCACTGACGAGGACACCAGAGTACAGCGATGACATCGCGCGTACGTGTGGCACAGAACACGCGCGAGTTGTATTCAAAAAAAAAAAAGAGAGCGAAGAGTCAACAGCAACAAATAATAATAATAATAGCAAACTAAGTAAGACGAGAGCAACCAATTAAACCACAGAATAAATAATGGTAATAAATGAAGAGGTGAAGAGACCAGTAAATGAAAAACTTGGCTGAAGTTGTAAGGTGGGATGAACGCATAAAACGTAAGTGCTTTTCTCTAAGGAAACACAAAGGGAGTAAAACGAGAAAGAAAGGGTGTTGATGCCGCCTGCGTGAGGCCATCTTTTATATAGTTCTTCTTTTGGATGAAAAGAGGAGAGCCCCCCCTCCTGATGATGCCGGCCACCTCAACGTGGTATCACGGTCCAGTTCCCACGAAATGGGGAAGCCAAGAGCCTACAGCCTATCCTCGTGTCCGGTTGCGGGCTTATTGGCGGCGGCGGACAGGTCTGGGTCGTGCACATGCTGGAGAGACTTGCAGCAGTTCACACGTCCGATACGGCTCACGAAAACGCGTGTTTACGGGTTATGACAACCATAAAACAGACCGCAAAAGATATTTTACTATTAAAAGAAAGAAGAAAGAACAGAGCCCGCCAAGAGGTGTATCGAACGTGTGGGCTCGACGAGGAAAAGGAGGAGGGGGAAAGGGGGAGAGGGTGAGCTGTTCGACGACACGACGCACGCAGAGAAGGAAAACGCCCCCTACCCCCCCCCAAAAAAAAAAATACATCATCGGCAATGACAAAACAAGAGACGCCTGCGACAGGAAAAGAGGAGAAGAAAAAACCACGACCACGGCAACAACAACAAACCAGAGCGGAAAGATGAGCTTCGCCATGGTTGAGACCGCATCCCTCTCTCAACATCGAACGGCCACCATCAAATCATGAAACGGAAAAAGAAATAAGCAAGAAGAATACTTTTTTTTTAGCCACGATGACGACGGCACAAGCCTAGGCATTTCGCGCCAAAAATATTCCTTGGATCGCTGTTTGCTCTACCTCCGCTGATACATACATATATATATATATATATATGCGTGTGTGTGTGTGTGTGTGTACATCTTACGGACGGTACACATTCGCATAGCCAGGCACACCGTGCGGACTCAACACAATCTGCCACAGCTGCAGATCGCGCGCCGCGAAGGCACCGGCGCTGCTGCTGAGGTAGTAGTAGAACATACGAAAGAACACGTCCGCGTGCGTCTTGCCACTCTCCGGGGAGTTGTTCCAGTGGGCAAGGAAGTTCTCTCGCCAGGCGAGCAGCGTGAGACCGTAGAAGTAGCCGAAGTTGTGCAGGTCCTCCATCACGAACTGGTTCTCAATCGTCTTGCCAATTCTGGAAATGCTCGGCAGACAGCCCCCAGGGAAGATGTACTTGAGGTACCACTGATCCGCACTGTCCTTCGTGATGTTGCTGCCGACCGTGTGCAGCAGAAACACGGCGTCGCGATCGGCGTCGTTCAACAAACGACGCATGTGCTTGAAGAAGGTGCTGTAGTTCTTCGGGCCGACGTGCTCGAACATGCCGACGCTAACGATGCGATCAAACTTGCGGCTGAACTTGGTGTCGCGGTAGTCCTGCTTGAGAATTGTTACGCGAGGGTCGTCCTTGTTCCGCGCCGCAGCGCTCCTCCGCTGTTCCTCCGAGATGGTAATGCCGGTCACGCGTACGTTGTAGGTTTGACTGAGGTAGCTGGCCAACGCGCCCCACCCACAGCCCACGTCCAGCACCTCCATCCCAGGCTTCAGCTTCAGCTTCTCCCCGAGCATGTGCAGCTTCACTTGCTGCGCTTCGTCAAGCGTCGCGACGGGTTCTACGGAGTTGCCGGCCGCGTCGCCGATGTGGCGCTCCCAGTACGCACAGCTGTACTGCATGCTGGGCCCCAGCATGTTGCTGAAGAACTCATTCCCGATGTCGTAGTGCTGCATCCCGACCTTCTTGCTCTTCGATTTGGTTTGCGGGTTGAACATCTTCGCCTTGAGCACGTTCGCCATGTCCTTCGCGTTGTTCGGAAAGTAGTACTCCAGCCCACCTTCCAAGATGCGCTTGAAAAAGTCGTCCAGCGCGTAGAAGTCACGCGTGTCCCACCAGCCGTCCATGAAGGACTCCCCCAGACCAACGCTGCCCTTGTTGATCACACGGCGGTAAAAGAGGGGGTTGTGCACCACCAGGTCGAAGGGGCGGTCCCCGCCGATGGTGATGCCGCACCGATCCATGATCTTCTGCGCTAACGTGCGGTACTTTTCTTCCTGCTTCACCAACTTCGCGTACTTGTCGGGGTTTATTTGAAACAGGCTGCCGTTGCCGGTGATGCCGCCGTAGTTTGGCTTTTCAGGACGGCTCATCGAGGTCGGCGCCTGCGGCAACGGTGCCCCTGTCTCTGTTTGCTTTGCTGGACACTCCGGTGTGCGCGGCTCGGTGACGGGGTCGTGGTTTTCCTGAAGGGTGTTGTGCGTCTCGGCTTGGCCGGCGCCTTCGCGATCTTGGTTGCCCATATTCCTCCGTGTATGCGTCAACAGCGGCAGCGAAAAGGCAAGAAGTGCCGCTGGGCTCGTGCGTACGATGACCTTCAGAGAAAGAGGGATATAGAACGACAACGAAGTCCGTCGACGCCAGCAACGAAAAGATATGGCTGAACTCGCGGTAGAGCGCGCTTTGTGTTTCTTTCAACGGGTGTCGACGACGGTGCAACGCTGACGAACACGATCAGTAGATGGCACAGAGCGTCACAATGAAAGGCTGATGACAACAACAATAATAATGAGGGTACAGATGGAAACTCTACGGTGTTTTGGATTCCTTGCCGTAAACACAGATGACTATATATGTATTCACGAAAGCAACGAAAGCAGCAACATCAAATTGACTTGAGATAGTGACGAGAATAATAATATTAGTAGTAGTAAATAGGAGATCAAAATGACCCCCCCCCCCCCGACCAAGAATTTGTTTGTGCGCGCACGTTGGGAGATGAGGTGAGAACAAAGAAGGAAACAACAGCAGCAGAGGAGCGTTAAAGACGCGGAAGTCAAAACAACAAGACAAGAGAAGAGAAGGTAATAATCTGTATGCTGAGGAAATATGACACGTGGAGCGCTGCTCTTCATTCGTACTTCGTTTTTTTTTTTGGCTGCTCACTATCGCTGGCAGCCCGCCCGCACACCAGCTCCAGCGGTTAGAGAACCAGAGAGGGAGATACACACCTCCATCCATTTCTTTTCTCTCCTCTGCAAGAAGAAGCGCAGGGACTTTCTCTTCTGCAGAAGTGAATGATGGCTGCGGCAACGGAATGCACGCGGCACGGATGTTGACGCCTACGTTCTACCTCGTATTTCTTTGGTGTCACCTCTTTCGATTTGAAGCACGAGGAGAAAGCATATATATATATATACACACACACGTTTCTTTCCAATGGTATCTTCATGTTCTCTTTCCTTTCACAGCTGTTCCAGCTTCTTCGACTGTCCTATCCCAATACACGACGGCGAACAAAGCAAATAATAGTAGTATATAGTAAACAGCAAGATGGACGCATGAGGAGTCGAAAACACCAGTTATGTGCCCGGGGTGCGGCTTCATAGCACACATAGACACCCACCCACACACGCACACACACGCACAAGCACACCGGCACTCATCAACACCATCGTCACGCACGCTTCGGCAGACGTGCGTAAATGACGCCGTCGGTGAAAAAATAAGTAAAATCATTAAGGGAGAGAAGGAGAGAAGAAGAAGACAACAAAAAGCGTAGAAGGTGCGCCTTTGCGCGCTGCAAACAGACAACGATGAAGGCGAGCAACGTAGAATATATATATACGTAAGTAGCAACAGCGAGGAATTCGGTGTTGAAGGTTTCTTCTTTTAGGGAAGATAAGTGGTCACGGAAGGAGTGGTCAGTAAAGGAGGTGCACTGCACATGCTGTGGGTGGTATCTACATGGGCTGCATAAGCCGGAAAAAAAAAGAGAGGGGTGAATCACACAAACGAAGATAACGCCGGGGAATAAACTTCGCCGATCAGGCGAGCAAACAGCAATAACAATAGAAAAGCCTACCAACGTGAGGAGGAGGTGGAACGAACTCCCCGCACCCAATCCCTGCTGACCTGTATATATCTATATATATCTATATGAGGAAAACGCGCCTTCTTCAACAACTCCACAGCATTATCACACATCGCTGTCCGTCGGTGATGACAGGAAGCTGTTGCTTTCCATCGTCATCGCACTCCCCACGGTCGTGCCGGCCCAGTCGAACGTGTGAAGACGCAGAGGTGCCCCACTACTCACGCTACGCCCCGACGTGCCACTTCCCCGTGCGGCGTTGCGCCGACTCGCGGAGGGCGTCAGCTGCCGTGCAGAACACCTCTCTCCGGTTGCCTCTGCACCTTCTCGAACGCCGTCCGGATCCCGTGCGGCGGGCGGAGCGGCCTCCGCCAACATGAAGGGCGTCTTCGTTGTAGCGGTATACTGAAGTGTGTGGGCGAGTAGGATGGCGGCGGCCGGCGACAAGGCGGGCTCCGTCCCCTTCCCACCCACGTTAGTATGGCTGCTCGTACCGCCGTGAGCGTAAGAAGAATGATGGGGGTTGGGATGGTCACTGACGCCGACGCCGCTGTTGCCGTTGGCACTCACCATACTTTGGGGGGATGCGCTTGTCGACAGCTGCGCGTGTAGTTGGCCTGGTGCGCTCTGAACGAGGATGGGAGAGGGATTGCTGTTGCTACCGCTGTTACTGCTGCTGTGCTGTCTGGGGCTGTGGAACAGCGAGGGGGTTGCTGTGGAGGCGTTGGTGGTGGCTGCCGGTGGTGGTGCCGGTGGGAGGGGGAGTTGCATGAGGAACGGCGGTGGGTGCGGCAAAACAAGGCCGCTCGCACCGGCTGGCGAGGTCACCGGTGACGCCGCCGCCGTACCCAGCGGAGAAGATCGACCAAGCATCATCGGCCGTGATGCAGCTGGCCCCGCTTTCGCTGCCGCCGTGAGCAGCCCCAGCCCCCCATCCGATATCCGCCGCGGCGGCGAAAGCGTGGCCTCCTCGGACAGATTATCGCGGAAGGAGACGCGTCGGCGATGCGCAGAAGCGGGTGTTGGTGCTGGCGGTGCTGGCAGCAGCTGCTGTGGGGGGTGCGGTGGATCTGGAGATGCGATACCGTCGCCCTGCGCCGCGACGTCCGCTGTGCCCTCTTTCACGTTAGCGGGCGGGATGCTGTGTCGGCCGTGCGGGGCAGCGAGCGACGCTGAAGGCGGCGGCTTCTGTGGCACTAGTAAGAAGGGTGAGTGCGGTCGAACCAGACTTGTTTCTTCCGCTTCCGCCTTCGTCTCCTCGCCTCGCTCTTCGTTTGTCGGCGTTGTCGTCGTGAAGGACGGGTGGTGGAGGCGGCGGACGCCTCGGTGCCGTCCGTATACCTCCGCTGCTGCTGCCGCTGCTGCTGTCGCGGCGGCGGTGGAAACGGTCCGTGGCTCCGACGCGCTCGCCTCCAACATGGAGAACATGGTCGCCCCGGTGACTTCGCCGTCGGTGTTGTTCAGCTCCCCTCCGTGCTGCTTCGTAAGCGCCTCCGCGGAGTTGAGGGGCACGTAAGGAGGCGGTGTCGGCGTGGTCTGGGCACTGCTTCCATGCCACTTACGAGACGAAATCAGAATGCTCGGACCGGCAGACGGCGAGGTGCGACAGGACGCTGCTGGCAGCCACATCGTCGGGGATGCTGCGGCGCCCGGGCCAGGGGAGAAGGGAGACGCCCACGGCTGCAGGTGGGTGGCGGAGATGTCGGTGGAGCTGTCGTCAGAGTCGAGCTGCCCACTCCGCGCAGGTGCCTCCTCGTCCCCCTCCTCGTCGCTGTCGCGCTCCGGGGGTGCGATGACAGGCGGAATTGCAGAAAGCACCGTCGTCGGCGTGAAGAAAGGCCGGGTTGCCGCAGCCCGACGCAATTCCCCTTCTGCACAGTCGCGGTTCCTTTGCTCCTCGTGCCCCATCGTCGCGAAGGCGCGCGAGGCCACCACCGCTTGCTGGCCACCACCGCTGCTGTCGCTGCTGTTGTTGATGCTGAACGATGTGACCGTGGTAGGCACCGGCAGCGTCTTCGGTGTCCGCGCACCGACTGCGCCATCCCTGGACACATACCCGACGTGCACGTGTGTGGTCGGGACCACCGATAGCACGCGTGGAGCTTCTCCGATGTCAGCAGCAGCAGCCGCCATTGGCGTGGTCGCGTGTACTTCCGGCAGTTGCGCGTCTATCAAACACAATCCACTACCACCACCACCGCGAAAGGTCTCCGCGACGGCACGGAGGCCGCTGTCGCTGCTAAACCCCTGAGCCGGGTCCGTCACCACCACTGCCAGCTGTTCCTCCTTTGCGCTTGCACTCTCCTCGCCACGGGCAGCTGCAGCAGCAGCAGTAGCGTCGCCAAAATGGTTGTCCGCATTGCTGGTCAGTGCGCTGGTACACCCACTGCGAATCGTGAAGGCGGAGCGGCTGACGATGTTGCTGTTTGGCGGTGTCGCGTTCTGCGCGGACAGCTCGTCCATCGTGAGGGGGTGATATGCGAAGCTGATGTTCGCGGCCGTCTCCGGCGGCGCGGCGTTCCGCTGCGGCGATGTCGTCGTCGCGTCCGCTTTGTTTTCATAGGTCGTTTTGGCATGCCTTCCCTGCGTGAGTGTGGCCGGGCGAGGTCCCGCAAGCGATGGACTCCCTCCGCCGTCTGGTGAAGTCCCACTACCCTCCGGGCGCTGTGCGAGTAGTGACGGCACGGCGGTCTTCATCGCCGCTGTGGGCGTACTCGCCGCGGTGTTTGTGCTTGCCAGCCAGGGGGCCGTCGATCGCGTCCGGTCCACCGCCGTCTCCTCCACCACCGGAGGTGCCGTTCGATTTTTCATGAAGACCAACGGCGCAAGCACCGGGCTGATACCCCCAACTTCCGGACCTGCGACGGGTGTTCTACGAGGCCGAGATGCGCGTGGCACCGGAGGTGCGCTGTCTCTTCCTGCCCCTGCTGCTGCTGCTGCTTCCTCATCGTTGTCCTCGTCGTGGCGTACGCCGTCAGTCTTGGCGCTGGCACACTCGTTGTTGTTGTTACTGCCGCTGTCGTCGTCCGTGCCGGAGAGTAAAATCGATGGCCACACCCGCCGTCGGCGTGGGTGCAGCTGAGAGCCCCAGGAGTGCCCCTGCTGTTGCGGTTGCTGCGTGGACGGTGACCCGTCCGTCTCCGCCATCTCCGCATCGTCGGCAGCAAAGTGGGCTGTGTGGCTCACCGGAGAGATCTGATCTCCCTCCGCTCCCTCGTCCTGGCCACCAACACCACGGCTGTTGTTCTTGCTATTGTCGCTGGGAACGGTACCCAGGCAGAGGGGCGCGCTGAGGGGTGGAGCCGCGCTGCGTACCCGCGCAGCGCTGCGCACGCCGCCGCAGCCCGTCAGCTGCCCAATGCGGTCACGCACCCCTTCCGCTGGCGCGGTGCTGCCGCCGCTGATGGTGCTATTCGCAAAGGTGCTGTTCGCGTTCTTATTCAAGTTCGTGCCATTCGCGGTGCTGCCCCCTCCAGCTCCAACAGAGGCAACACAGGAGTGCGGGGTGAACACGTCCACGCTTTCGTCGCTGTCGGACCCGCCATCGGTGCTCAGCAGCAACGCACTCTGCAGACTCAGCATTGGGCTGCGCGACGGGTACCGCCGCGGGGCTTCCTCCTCTGCCTCTCCACCACTCGTACTCGTAGACGGGTGCGCACGGCGCAGCTGCGAGACGGCGACCCCGCCGTACTCGGACGTCAGCTGCGGTGCGCTTCTCTCGCCGTCCTCCTCTCGCACTTCCGCGGAAGACCCGTCGCTGCCCTGCCGGTGGTGCGGCGAGCCGTGCGACCGCCAGTCCCGCCGCTTCCGCGTAAAGGACGAGGTCGGCTGCAAACACGGCTTCACGGTGGTCTCGCCCGCATCCCCGGAGAAGTGGGCAGCGGCGCGAGTGCGAATCACTGGCGGCTTTCGCGCGCTCGGGCGTCGACCGGTCCGCCGCATCGCCTCCGCCTTCGCTCGTAAGATTTCCTCCATGTCCACGTCGTAGGCGGAGAAGGCCTCCCTGTCGTGGCCGCGGTGCCCCGCGCCGAGCTCGTCATCGTCGTCGTCGTGCGTGGCGAAGTTCAGCATGGCGACAACGCTGGGGAAGGAGAGTCGGGTGCCATCGCGGTTGGCGTTGGTGCCGCCGGCTGTCCCGCTGGAGCTGCTGGCCGGCGTGGGGGATTCCGCGTCGGACGCGCAGACGAGCGCCACCGGGGCGGCGGGACTGATGCTGTTGCTGCTGCTGCGGCGGTGCCCCGCCCACAGCGGACTCCTGCGGGAGGATCGACGTTGGCCTGCACGATTGCGTGTGTCGTTGTCGTAGCGGAGATCAACGCTGTTGTCGCCCTCGGCAGCGGCAGCGACGGAGGACAGGGATGTCGTTGCCCGTGGGGAGAGCTGTCGCTGTCGTGCGAGTACACCGCGGCGCGACTGACACCGGCGATCCAGCGCCTTCGGCGTCGACGCGCACACCTCCATCCAAAGCTGACCAATCTCGCTCTGATCCATCACCGGGAGCGGCGGAGGCTCTGCAGTGGACTCTGCGGTCAACACTGCAGCAGCTGCAGCAGCAGGAGCTGCTATTGTTTGTGTAGCTGCTTGGTCCTCCCTCCTGCCAGGGACTCCCGCGCTTATTGCCGCAGCAGACCCTCGCACCGCTTCACTTTCGTTCCCCCTGTGTACGGCTGAGTCGGCTCTACCGTGCGGCTTGAATAGCGAACTTCGCCGCGACAACACGGAGGAGCCTTCCTGCACCGCCACGGCACTCGTCCACCTCCGCCGCGCCAGCGGCCGCATCGAGGAGGACGGGACGGAGAAGGCACGCAGTGAGTTGGTGGCCACCGCCATCAGCGCTGCCGGCTGCAGCAGCGGCATTCTAGAGCCGGCGGAAAGCACCGAAAGCACATTTGAGGTCGTTTGCTGCTGTTGCTGAGACGGCTTCGATGAACACGGTGTGCCGAGCGACGTGATCGTGGCCAGGGCGTTGTCCCCACTTCGCACGCCGTTGACGGCATCCCCCGCGGCAACAACATCGACCGCAGGCCCGGCTGCACCGGTCGCCAATGACGGCGCTAACGCGACGCCGGCAACGCTCAGCGACGACGGCGCTAGCGCGAGCCAGGGCGTTGGTGACGGGCGGGTATGTGACAGATGGCGACAGCTCCCGTTGTCCTCCTCCTGCGTGGCGGTCAGGTCGCGCGGGTTGGCGGTGCCGCTCGAACACCGCGATGTCGGAGGCCACGTCATGGGAGATGAGGCGGATAAAACAACAGCTACACCGCCGCGGTCACCCCCACCGTTGTTGTCGTTGCTGCAGCCCACCGAGGCGGTGACCAGCTCGCTGGCGGACGGACCTTTCACGAGCCCTTCGTGGACCACCGTTGTTGCTGCTGCTGCTGTGAGGGTACTACTGTGGAGGGAGCTGTGCTCGAGGCTAGAGAAAGCGGATGACGCTGTTCCCATGGCCATCGCCGTAGAAATAGTAGCTGACAGCGGGGGAGTTGCCCTAGAGGAGAATGTGCCGCCACAGCTAGTATGAGTATCGGAGACACTACCACCGGCAAAGAATTGGTAGAATGCGCTACGATGGAAGCAAACGGTAGCGGTCGGCGTCGTCGTGACAGCCGCTGCGACAGCCGTCGCCGGTGCGCCATCACAGTGCGTTTTCTCCTTTTCCGCATTAATCGACGGCACCGCTGTGCAGAGAAAAGCGGCTACGTCGCTGCCCGTGTGTTGGCGAAGCTGCGGCAACGTGGGAGACGTCGACAACGACGACTCTTGCGTTCCTGCGTCGGAGTTGCGGGCCTGTGTCGCGCTGAGCGATGCCGCGCTTCCTTGGCGGCTGTTCGTGTCGTCGTCGTCGTCGCCGTTGCTGTCGTCCTTCACCGGTTCCACAGTCGTCTTGTGGCGACGAGGCTGTGTGGGCGTGGTCGGTGCGGTGCTGCCGTTCGCCGCGTCGTGCGTTCCCTGTTTGTCAGCCTGCGCTGCAGACGCCGCGAAGTTGTCTCTCGGAGGGCCAGCGCGACGACGCTGCGGGTGCATCACAACGACTGGACACGACATCGCTGACGTGGGTGACACGTTCTCTGGCGTGTTGGCCGCTTCCTTTTGCGTCGACGACCGTCCCTGTTGCTGCTGCTGCTGCTGACGCTGCGTCTCGTCGATATCACGCGTGTCAACACGAGATGAAGGGAGTCGGGCGTCGCTTTTCTGCGGTGCCGAGGAGGTCGGAGGAAAACACGTGACCTCCTCCAGTGAGACGTCCACTGGCGCTGCCTGTCGCTGATCTCCACCATCATGATGATGGTGGCTGCTGCTTTTCGCTTCTGAATCGCTACCACCCTTGTGCATCACCGCCTTCGGGCTCTTCAGCAGCGTCATCGCGACCACGTCCCCACGTCCTTCTTCCACTTCTTCGCTCAATAAATGCGGCGTGCTGTGTCCCGGCACAGTGCTGCTGGATTGCACTTGCAAGAGAACGCTAGGGGTCGAGTTCATGATAGTGCCAGAAGAGGATGCGGAGGAGGAGGCCGCTGTGGCGGCGGACACCGCACACGTCGTTTCCGCCGCTGCCGCGGATAGCGCGGCAGCCACTGCGGCGTTGCTGTGAATCACAATCGTAGTGAGAGAGACGGACATGCTCGTGGGCGGTGTTGGCGGATACGGGCGCGGTGGCCGTCCTTGTGCTGCGGTCGCTCTTGCGGGGTCTGCGCCGAAGGACGCGGTGATCGGCTGGAGTTTTCTCCGAATCACGACAGCGCCCGCATCCGCGGTCTGTTCGGCCGGTAACGCAACGCCCTCTTCGTGGCGATGTTGCTGTGGTTGTCGCAGTGGTGGGGAATCACCGCCGCGTGGGGCTGCCTTCGCCGTGGACGCGCTCGGCTGCAAGTACGGATGGCGCCTTTGACCGCGAAATCGTGGTAGGTAACGTGGACGCGGCGCCGCTGCTTTGACAGGTTCTGCCATGGTTGCTGCGGTGGCGGTGGTGGTGGTGGTGGGAGTGTCCGCTGCGTGCACGACGGCGTCGTCGAGACTGTGACCACACATGAAGGCAACAACTAGCGAGGCCGCCGCCGCTCGGCGCTGCAGCTGCTGCGACGCCGACATGGACGAAGACAACGACGAGACCCTCAGAGACGCCTCACGTGGCAGCGGCGTGGCGAGCCGCGGGGCAGGGGAGAAGCACGCGCCGGCTGCCTTTCCCATCACCGAGGCTCCCGCGGCAAGCCCGGAGAGGCTCAATCGCATGCTGGCGGATGTCAACACCCGACCGGGGTAGGGGTGTGGGCTGATGACCGGCGGTGACAGCTGCGTGCGCGACAGAGAAGCGGAAGGGATGGAAAGATTCGGTGGTGGGCGCTGCTGCAGCTGCTGGGGGAGGGCGGAGCCGAAGGAGGCGGTGGGGGAGACGCTCAGCGGCGTGGTTTGGTGCTGCTGGTGTTGCTGGTGTTGCTGTTGTGACTGCACGACGGCTCGTGACTTGAGGCGACGCTTCGTGTAGCTGACCCTCGCCCCGCTCCGTGTCGCAGAGGCAGTGGTGGTGGTGGTCGTCGTCATCGTCGTCGAGGCGGAGTGGACGGAGACCGAGGCCGCGACCGGTGTGGATGCGTTCACTCTTTGCGCCCTCCGACGAGGTAGCGGCGGTACGGCGGGGGACTGACTGACACGTGCAAGCGCACCGGATGGGCTCTCCGATGCACAGAGCGACGACGACGACGGCTGCTGCTGCTGCTCTTGTTGTTGCTGGGAAGACTGCCTGCGCTCATGCGACGGTGAGGTGGATGGGTGTGGCGGGGAGGCCATCGTGGCGGAAGCATACAAAGGTCCAGAGGCGCTCTGGTTCGACCACGACAGCGAGTCCTCCTCCTCCCCCTCCTGCCGCCGCGCCGCTGCTGTCGTTGGGATCGATGTGCTGCTCCCCCCCGCACCGTTTCTTTGCTCCCGTACACACGCGGTCTCATCTTTCGTAGCTGCTACTGTCGCTGTTGGCGTTGCTCTCGGCAAACTCATCGGCGGTGGTCTCCCACGCGGTGCGACACGGCGCAGCACGAAGCGCCGCGTGGAGTGCGAGGTGCACATCGCAGCCGCGTCGTCGACCTTCGCGGCGGCTCGGCCCACCTTCGGCGTCGCCGTGGTAGCAGACGCGGAGGAAGGTGTGCCGATCGTCGTGGTTCGACTGCGTTGTGTTCCGCTGCGCATAGTGCTGGCGAGGTCGCTGTTGCTCCTGCTGCTGCTGCTGCTGCTGCTGCTGCGGTCGACGTCAACATTCACAATAGAGCTCGTTACGCCATCAGAGACTGCCTCCGTCGCGTCCGAGGTCGGCAAACGAGAAGCAGGACCAGCTAACGGTGATGGTGGGCTTTTCGGACTGGGGCGCTGGCGTCGATTACACGCACATCGATTTTGCCGCTGCCGTGGCTGCTTCGTCGGTGAGGTTGGAGGAGGAGACCGCAGGCACAGCTGCACGGCTTCAGCTATCACGTTTCTCTCCGCGAGCTCGTCTCCTTTGCTGTTGGTCACGCTGGTGCTGCAGCTAACGCCGCAGAGGTTGTGCCTCGCACTCATCACTCCATTCAGCTGCGAGCCCTCGTGCACGCTCGTGTCGTAGCGGTGCCGCTCTGCCGGGACCACCGTCGGGAAGAACATCTTTGCAGAGGTGGCCGTGTTTGAATTCGTGTTGTTCGACGCGAATCTGGTGAGCGGCGCCACCACGTGTGCGTTCGTGTTTGCTGTTGTAGTTCTAGTGGCCGGCGGCTGTGCCGGGGAGGCCCGCAGCGGTGGTAGGTCGTGCCGTCGCAACTTTCGCCGCGTGGCTGGCTGCCGTTTTGCCTGACCCGCTACCGGCGCGGCAGCGGTAGCAGCAGTAGTAGGCGCGGCGTTGATGCTCCCGCTAGCCCTGCTTAAGGTTTTGTTGTCGCAGGTGCTATCTTCATCCCCGTGGCCACTGTTGACCAAGCTGCACGGAGTCCGCACACTTCTACTAGCGGCCGCCACGCCGCCGCTGATGACGCTGTTGCCTCGCACGGAGGCGTTCGACCGGCGAGAGGCGGCCGAGGTGGAGTGTAGCGGCACGGTGCGCGACACCTCTGCCGGATCGCGGGTCGTGGAGCTCAGCAGCGCCGACAGCGGCAGTTGAAACAAATTCAACGCCTTCTGTGCGGCTTCTGCGCTGCTGCTGTTCGTGTCGTCGTTGTCGCTGTCGTCGCTCAATGAGAGCGGTTGTGAGGGCTGTGAACATGCATCCTGCCCCTCTGCTGCTGCTGCCGCACGCTGCGGTTTCTTCTTGGGGCTCGGTGCGTTACGCGGTGCACGACGCGCCTCATTACTGCTACTCGTTGCTGTTGCGGTGGTCGCTGGTGCTGTGGCGATCGGCGCTACGCTGCCGTGCTGCCTCTCCTGCGCCTCTCCTGCAAGTTGCGGCTGCGACAGCGAACTTTGCTTTCGTTCTTTCGGATCCCCCGTCACCGGCACGGGTGCAGCGGCGGCAACCGACGCGGGTCCGGGGGACAGGCTTCTAAAGTTCTGCCGTCCACAGAACAGCGGGGACTCGTGCGACGTCGTGCCGCCCCTGGGATTACCCTTCCTCGCATCAGCAACGACAGGTGCCGCCGTCACCTCCGTCTCAACCGGCGTGTTCTGCGCCTCATTGCGGTAGGGCATGTGGGGGAGTGAAAAGTGGCTGTCACCGTAGCCATTTTTGCTGCTGCTGGTGCTGCGTGGGCAAGGGTGCTGATGAGGGAGTTGCTGCTGCTGCTGCTGCTGCCTTGAAGGGTCTGTTGCCCGTCGTCGTGAGCCGGGCACCTGGATGTAGCAGCCTGACGTATCTCGACCACCACCACCACCGCCACCACTACCACCAGCAGCACTACTTGCTGCTGCGCTGAGGCCGCTGAGCAACACCAGTTCCGAAGAGCGCGGATACGCAGCGCTGCCGTTCGTAGTGTTGGGCAGCGAGGTATTCAAGTACGGCGAGAGCAGCTGGGGAGAGATGCTGTCGAGGTGCTCGAATGAGGGAGAGACGTGCCCGTCAACGGCGCCACCACCACCACCACCACCACCACTAGCACCAATGCTATTGTTCTTAATCTTGCTGCCCCCGACAGGTGTTACTACGGAGCGTGCGATGTGGTGTCTGCGGGTTTTGCGGTTCGACTCCGCGCTGGTGACACTGCCAAGACTACTACACCCGACCAGCTCCCGCAAGGTGGTAGACGGCGACGATGTAGACGTTGGCCGCATCGGTGGCGTGCTGCGTAGAGCCTCCGCCGCCGACCGCTTGGGCGAGGCGCCGCCAAACCGCCGCTGCCGCGATTCGGAGCGACTCGCCGAGGACGCCGTGTCGTCGAACACGGACAGCACGCGTGATGAAGTCGACTGTTGCTGCTGCTGCTGCTGCTGCTGCTGTGACCGCTGCGATGTCACCGTCGCGCGCAGGTGCATCGAGGAGCGGTTCGAGATGGCGTAGGTGGCGAAGGAGGACACGTCGGAGGTTGGCGTGACAGCGAGACGCGACGTGCTGACCCCCGCTCCTACCGGCGCAGCTCCGCCCAGGTGATGACGCAGCACGTCCGCGCTTTCCATTGACAGCGCGGCGCCGTGCGTGGACAACGACGACTCTACCGTCGCGCTGTTCGCCGATGTGTTGTTGTCGCTGTGCTGGTGGCGGTCGATGGAGGCCTGCGAGGAGTGGGAGCTGAGAAAAGGCGTGGGGGCGGGGTTGACGGCACTGTTCCCCCCGTCCTGGGTGGAAGGGGAGAGGCGGTGCGCCATTGATATTTATTTCTCTCTTCTTCCGAGACGAGAGGGTGATCCCTAATCCCAAAGCAAAGGAATGTCAAAGCTGAACCGATCCACAACAGCAAACAAACAACACCAACCACAGAACAGAGAAACAAGTAAAAAAACTTTCGCTGCAGTTTATATCCACGCTGCTGCCACGCTTAAAGAGTCCAGCTGCGAAGGGAGCAATACGTAACCGCCTTGAAATTTGCAAAGTAGAAAGACGAGTTTAAAAGGACCCAGTCACAACAGCAAAGATACATACATAGTATTCAAAAGATCCGCCACGCACCAATCAACTTCCAAAAAGGAAAAGGGAAGAACAAAAAACCGCAAGACAAATACTCTCAACGTATGCTCACCGAATGATACTTAACTTCTACGTTAAACAAAACGAAGGTAAAGACGATGGCGGGTATATCAAGAGACACAGTCACACACACCCACAACCACGTAAAACGCGAGGTGAGAAGTGTGAGCGACAACGGAAAATGCTCCCACAGAAAACGGACACGAGCGCCGTTGATGAAGACGGGAGGAGAGCTAACTAGATATATCGAACTAAAAACTGGAGGCCACGCAGAAGCATGAGAAAGCGCCTCCCCAACTGTCCAAGAGAGGCATACAACGTGAGTAGTATGGCGCTATTATATATTTATTTATATGTATAGAGAGAAGGAGAGGTGAGGTAATTATTGAGGTAACCAAAGGAGAGGGGAAAAAAAAAGTGAAAACACCACAACTGGCGGTGTTACGGTGCGACTACAGCGCAAGGTGTATATACGTATCTATATATATATTTGTGTGTAAGAAACTAAGAAGGGTATGGTAAGAGTGAGGGAAAGCGGGAAAGAACAAGAAACAAAAGCAAAATCAATAGCACCAAAACAAACAATGATTGGGGAGAGGGTTTACCGCGCTACCAAGCACAACAGCTGTAGTGACACTAGGAAGCCTACTGGGGAGACAACAATGACTTGCCCTTCGCGGGACAAGGTCGGCGGAAGATAGTTAGAGAGATAGAGAGATAGAAGGAGTTATGAGCAACACGGTGTGAATGAACTTCAAAGTACGACTAGCAATACACAAGAGAGAGAAAAAAACAAACAAACAAACAAAAAACACACGAAATATTTTTTCTGTTAGCTGAGGCAGTTGAATCGAAGGCACCAAATATCCACAGCGTAGCGGAGTAGGACGAAAATGAAGGCGGAGAAAGAAGAAAAGAGAAAAACACAAGAAGGAAGGAAGGAGAAGGGCCGGGATTTTTTTCTTTGTTTTATTCTCTTGTTTGCTAGGGGTGACACTGACCGTGCCAGAACAGAGAAAGAAACAGGCGAAAGTGGAAAGAAAGGCGGCGAGGGATGGGGCTCTCTGTTGGACGCGCCGTCAACGCTGCCGTCGGGGGCCGAATCAGAGGTGGGAAAACAAGAGATGATGAAGAAGAAGTGCTTCGATTGGCGTTACAACTATTTATCCTCGTGGGTGCAAGGACTCAAAAGAAGGGTGGCGGTGGTAGAGGTATTCGGTGAACTAAACAGAAGTGCCAGCTTCGCAGAAGACGGCAGGAGAACACACACACACACGCACGCACACACGTTGAAATACCACCTGCGACGAGAGTGCTGGAGCGTGTTGTTCCACTGCCTCGTTCGGCGTCTACGCAGCAGAAAACAGAAGCGACCGCAGCAGCAATAAAATCTGATTGAAATCAGCAATGACTGTGTGAAGGTGGAAAACACCTTCAAAATCTGAAAAGAGAGATAAAAACCAACGCCACAAAGCAGAAGAAAGCACAGAAGTGACGTGAGATGGTCAGGTTCGTTGGCTGCAGTACCGTCTCGGCTTCAAGCCGCAGCAGCAGGGGAAAAGATGACACGTGCGAAGCGGACGCGTTGACTGCGATAGAAGAAAGAGAGGTGGAAGGTGAGAGAGAAAGTTGGGCGGAGGGGGAAGGAGGGTGGAGGGAGAAAGAAAGAGGAGGTCAAAACCTCGAAGGAGCCAAGCAACACACTAAACAAGAAAGGAAAGAGAAAAGAGAAAAGAATAGCTTTTCGGTGTATGTGCGGTTTCCGAAGAGAACCGGCAAAAGGCGCGAAGGAAAGAGGGAAGAAAGAACCGCAGATGCACGTGAAAGGAAACACACAGACACACAGAGAGACAGACAGACAGAGAGGAAAACAAACAAACAAACAAAAAAGGCCGCAGCGGAGACGCGCCCTCGACACAATAATAATATACAATCTCTTCAAGAGATGCTGTTATGACCACGCGTTTTACTTCGGCGCTGACCCAGCAAGTCGTTCCTCTCGCGTGGGTTTCTTTGTGTGGTGTACGCGAAAGGAGTTTAGAAAAACACCGACGAGAAACATAAAGTACGCACACCCTCGTACTGGAATGAAAAGAAAAGAGAAATAAAGTACAATTTTGTTTGCAGTAGTGAAAGAAAGAGAAAGAGAAAGAGGAAAAAACTAGTAAGAAGGCAATCGCTTTCGCCCGGGCAACGACTCTAAAAAACAAACAAACAAAGAGTTGACAAACACACACACATACAGAATTTAAGTAGCCTCGCCTGAAAAGCAGAGACAGTAAGCGATCTGGAAGAGGACAATGCACACGTTTTAAAGGAGTCCTTCTTGCTCAACGCCTCTAAAGCGTAAAGCGAGGAAGAGTAGAAGATAATCGAAAATAGAACAAACAAACGGTTTCCAAAGAAAAAGAAAAGAAGAATACATGCGGTAACCGCTCTCGATCTTGCTTTCCCCCCCTCTCGTACGTAAGCTCGCACCTCCGCGCTATGAAAGGCGAATAGGACCTTTGCTTCTTTTTTGGAGAAGAAGAAGGCCGGGGTGTGGGGTGGGGATGATGCTGAGCAGATGCGTGAACTAATGGGAGGGCACCTTCTGCGCCAACAACAACAAAGCAGCAGCAGCAGCAGCAGCAGCAAAAGAAATAATAATAATAATATTACTAGTAGTAGAGGTACTACTAATAAAAACAATAGTCAAAGACAACTATAAGAAACGAGAAAAGGATCCAATGATACACACGGTCCTCTTCTTTTTTTTCTGTTGTTGTTGCGTTGTGCGAATGCCAGATGACTCGCGACACCGCAGGTATTTTTTATGTTTGACGTAGCTGCCGTCCCCAGAAGAAATAGAAGGTAAGCTGTAGAGAGATATGTAAGGTTATTCGGAGTCGACAGCGCCGCCCCCCTCTCACTCACAGACAAGCAAAGCGGCTCTTTCGGCGTATGCAGGTTTTTCTTTTGTGTTTTAGGCGATTTATTATTCGGACGTCCTTATTCTACTTCACCTTCGCTTTCCAAGTATATATATATATATATTAATGATTACTATGTTATCTTCTTGAACAAGCGAGTGGTACGGCAATGAGACTTAGGCTGAAGGAGAATAAAGAGGAAGAAGAGAAAGCACGACAGATACAGGCGCGATGAACGCAGATGCTGCTCTTCTTCGCTACGAGTGGCAAACACGCACACGACGCGCCGCTTCCTTATTGAATCATGACTGGGAGATTATCGTGTTGCCTCCTCTTCTCTTATTCACCGCTGTAGTAACTGTCTTTGAGCTACCAAACGCGACTTCTTCGTTTTATGGTCTTTTTCTTTCTTCTTCTCGCGTTTCTCTACCAAACCGCGAAAGAGCAAAGGGAGCAACAGTAATGATTCGTAAGAAGACAAAGAAAGGAAGGCAACGACTGCACACACACACACACAGACACAAACCGAAACGAAGATGCGTGTTACGCCGTGAGCAGAAGTCACAACTCTCGTGCTGATGTAGCTATATATTAACATATATATATATATATATATATGTAGGCTGAGAGAAACATGCGATGCAATACAATTGAGAAGGAGTAATAATAATAGTAATAATAATAGTCGAGGGCCATTTTGAGAAGGAGGTGTGACAGGTGGGGAAGGACGACGAAAGAAGAAATAGAATATAAAAGAAGAAAGGAAGGAGGGAGAGGTAAATATATTTGACAGAGGAGGCCAGACGGCACGCAACATCGCTGCATGGGAAGGTTGGCTTTCGTTAAGACCACGCAGGCGTTCTGGTCCTCCCATGCACGGGGTGGGGGGAAGGGGGAGGGGGACATCTGCACCTCTCTCTCTCCTTCCTCTTCTTCACTTAAAACACCAGTTTTTTTTTGATTTCTTCGATAGAATAGAGCAACCAACACGCAACACGCACCATCGTGTTTAGGCGACCTTGAAGCGGGAAACGTACGCCAGCGATCCAGCCGTAATCACACGAAGGAGGAGAGGAGACAGCATTGCGAGAGAAGGGAGAAGTGTGTTATGTGGGCGTATGTGCGTGCGTGTCTCTGTGTGAGCAACAGCGTGGAAATAATAATAATAATAATAATAAGCAAAGTAGCCGCTACCAATACGCGCAAGGAACATCAGTCACAAAGGAATCGTTCAGGCATATTTCAAATTAAGAACATTAAGAAACCCACGACAACCAACAACAGTAGGTACATTCCTCGACAGACTTCCCCCCTTTTTTAAAACACCGTTTCGCCTTCCCTTTCTTTTCAGCTTGCCATGCCAGGCGGTGGTGGCGGGCGCAGCGCCTTGTCCTCGTCGCGAATCTCCACTTTAAAAGCCTCCGACGACCGCTGATCCTTCCAGTGGTGTGCGCCGGACGTCGGCCCGAGGCCCTGCCGGTGCAGATGCTCCTTCCCCGGCTCCACGTCGGCGAAGCTTTGAAACTGCTGCCGCGACACCTCCGGATCGTACACCTCCTCCATGTACGTCTTCACGTCCTGTCCGGTGTCCTTCGGTATGGACATGGAGTCGAACTCGTAGGTGCCCGTCTTTGTAAAGTTGTGGTGCTTCTCCAGCACGTAGATCGCGCGACGACACTCCTCGATGCACTCGTCGATGAGCAGCTTCTCCGTGGCCTGTGCACGACGACGGAAGCACATGCGCGCGTAGGCGATCATACTCCGCTTCCGCACGCTCTTGTAATGCATGAGCCCCTTCAACACGTTGCGGTAGAGGAGTAGCACGAGGGCCTTGTGCTCCGCTGTCGGGGTAAACTCCCAGCTGGCGCGGGTGCGGTTTGGGTCGTCCGGGTGCCGCGGCATGTTCGCCTCGTCAAACTCCTTCGCGTACTCCACCGTGGCCTGCTGCTGCTGCGCCTCCCGCGCCCGCGCTGCGCGGTGTATCTCCAAGTCGTAGGATACAGGACGTCGACTCGGCCCGGTCAGGTGCGCGCCGCGCTCGATGAGAATATCGTCAATGGCTTGCTTCGGCACGGTCGACCCCGGCGAGGCGCCACCGCCCATTTGCTGCCGCGGCAGGCCCCCACGCGGACTCTGGCCGCCAACCGCGTTGCCCTCCGTTGCCTCCACCGACTCATTCGCCATGGGCTGACCGACGTCCTGCCGGCCGAGGCCCACGGCATTTTCGCTGATGAAGGTGTCCTTGGCGGTTACCTTGGCGGAAGCCACCGCGCTGCCGCGGTAGTTGCTGCTCTGGCCAAGCCAGGAAGAGAAGAAGAGCAGGGGGCGAGTGGAGTGCACGAGGCCGCTGCGGGTGGACGCGGTGGGGGCGGCTGCTACTGCGTACGTTGCGGCCGCTCCTACGCAGCGGAAAGGACGCTGCGACAGCCGTGCGCGCACGCCGGCGTACAGCATGCTGCTCCTCCGTTGCAAAAAAAAACACCGCGCGCTTCTGCTAGGTAACATACAAAAGGAAACGTATTACATACAAACAAGCCACAATAATAATAGTAATGAACAAAGACGAATAAGAATACGAAGTACGGCTTAAGAAGAAAAAAAGAATGTGCAGTTGCGCGTGGAAGTAGGCTGCAACTTACTGCATGCGCTGCCACGGATACGTGCGTGAGCGCGTCATGGGGGCCGCGAAAAAATGAAGAAGTGGGTGGAAGGAGGCGAAATTCGGACTCTGCCGTTCTGGTGGAGACATTCGGTGAGCGAGCGAGAGGGGCGTGGGGGCGAGTCCGCCAAGCACCAAAGAAGACGCTGCGTCTGCGGGTCCTCTTCCTACATTCACACAAGAAGGCAGCGAAGCAGAATGTTTTCATGTTTGCTGCTAAAGGAAGCTCCCACCAACGGAAGAGACAATAATAGGAACAAGAGGCTTATTCCCCCTCTCTGTTATATAGCCAACCGTGGATACACGCGTGTAGCGGGCACGAGAAGCTGCCCCATCGGAGCCACGACATCTGCACGGGCGCGTAGGCATCGTGCCATAAATCGTATTTTGGTTTGCTACAGAAGAAAAAAAAACCTGATCCGCAACAGACAAATAGAGCAAGCCGAAAAAACCCAAAGCGGAAGGATGTTGATGACCCGCTTCGAAGTCCTCCTCCTTTTCCCTTATAATGTGCTCCACGAACGCCCCACCGGTTTGGACCGAAGTGGGATAAAACGGATGGGGAGGGGGAACGACAGCGCAAGAAGTAAAGCAACAACAGCTGGATCACCGTGGTCACAGGTCCAACACGTTACTGAAGAACGGACTCGCGGCGTCGAAGCGGACCTCATCGTCGGCGACCAGAAAACACTGCGCCGCCTGCGCCGCCGTCGGCCGCTTCGCCGCATCCACCACGAGCAGCGACACCACGAAGCTCGCAAACGCCAGCGAGTACTTCTCGCTAATGATGTCGTTCAACATGCGCGAGGCAAAGCCGTCGCGCTTCGCCTCCTCCGACATCAGCCGCACCGTGCGCGCGGTCAGCCGACCGGTGGCTAACGCGTAGAGGACGCAGCCGAGACTCCACATGTCGCTCGCCGTGCACGTCGCACCCTGCCAGCACTCCGGGGCGATGTAAGGCCTCGTGCCACCGCCACGGCTCCCACCGCGGCCGCCGCCGGGGCCGGTGCGCGCTTCCTGCACCATCGCAAGACCGAAGTCCGTCACGACGATCGGGACGACGGCGCGTGTGATGCGGATGGGTGGTGGGGAGGTGAGGGCCGTGACGGATGCTGGACCGCCGCGGCTGCTGGGGATGATGGGAGACGGCGCAGTCGTGGGAGCTCCTCCGTGGCGGCTGGTCCGACCGGTGCCTGCCCCATTTGAGTTGCTCGCGTTACTGTTGTAGTGGGCGCCGCTGATGGACGTTGCAGCGGCCGCGGGGGAGAGCGGGGACGCCGGCTTGCTCCCGTGCGGGCCGCTCCCCCGTCTCGTGAAGCCCATCACCACGTCTGCCGGCACATCGCCCAAAAATTCCTCCAACGCACCTTTGATTAGAACGTTCTCCGGCTTCAAGTCACGGTGGATGATGGGTGGGCTTTGGTGGTGCATGTGATCGAGCACGGAGGAGAGCTGATACGCGATGGAGAGCAGCTGCGGCTCCGTCAGCGGATTGCGGCTCGTCGGGTCAGGCTTGTCCGCGCTCTCGCGCTGATCTTCGCCGTTTTGAGTACCGCCACCGCCTTCTTTTGCCGCTGCTGCTGCCATAGCCAGGTTCGGGTCACTTCTACTTGTCGCCGGCTTCACGCGCCACGTCGCAGCCGCCGCGGCAGCCATCCACGACGCTGCTGAGTTCCCTAACGCCACGGCGGAGGAGGTTAAATCGTTGTACGACGCCCCGCCTGCAGGAAGCACAGAACTGTGGTCAGACGGCGTCGGCGTGTTCGGCGAGGCAGCCGCCCGTGCGTCAAACCCGCCCTGACTGACGCAGTTCCGCACCATACAATTCGGCTGCTGTTGTTGGTCTTGCTGCAGGGCGAGTTGCCGCTTCGCGCGCAGCACGTAGTGGCACAAGTCCCCCATTGGGTGGTACTCCACCACCAGACACAAATAGCCGGTGTCGCGTATGTCCTGGCTGACGCCGCCGCTGCTGTTACTTTGGGTAGTGCTTCCCGTGCCGGCCGCGTTGCTGCTGTCATCATCATCATCCGCGTCACCGTCGTTCTTATGGTGCCCGGCAGCTGCTGCTGCTGCTGCTGCTGTGTCGGCACCTGCGTTGCCATCATGCGTGGCGGTGTTCTGCGCGTCCTTGACGACCTCGGCCGATGCCCGCGCAGCCGCGACGGAGGCAGGACCGATGGCGGCTACTCCGCCAGGCTGCCCAAACGCGCACCAAAGTGTGGGGTTGCCCGCGTTTGCGTAGCGCACCATCGGCGCGTAGGTCTGCTCGCGAGGGACATGCGAGGAATCATAAGTGCTGTGGCTGCTCTTCTCTGGGACACCGGTGGCACCGTACGACGGCGCAGCTGCGGATGTGCCGCGGAACATGCGGGAGGTGGCGGTTGTCGAGTCCGTGTAGCCGTGCGACGTTGCTGTGATTGGTGCTCTTGCGGTGGTGGTGGTGTGGTGGTGGGGAGGGGCCGTGTTGGGTGCAGGGGTGGCATCAGCCAGCGTCACGCCGAGGTTTGTGTACAGCGGCTTCTGCGGCGACGGCGCATCGGCGAACGCCGTGACGTCTCCGTTTACATTTGCAGTGAAAATAGAGTTATACGAATTGTGGCGTGCGGCGCTGGCGTCCACGTGTCCGTGACGGCGATCGTCACGACCGGGCTGCATCTCTCCTTCCTCCTCCTCATCGCTGTTGTTGGTTTTATGATCCCCATTGTGTCCGCATACCACGTACGTGCAGTTCAGCTCGTTCGGCTTCGTAAGCGGCGGCGACGGCACGAGGCTGTCAACGTCTCCCCCCTCCCTCGCCGGCCTCGGCGTTGGTACGTGCACGTGTGGTTTGCCGTCGTTGCAGTGCATCTGCTCCCCTTGCTGACCAGCGCGTGCGTGACGGATGGCGGCGGATACGCTTAGTCGTCCATACATGACCTTTACTGGTTTTGCCGCCGAGGGGAGGGGTGAGGTGGCTGAATCCTTTCCCTCCCCCTGCTGCTGTTGTTGTGGAAGAGGTGGAGTTGGAGACGGACTCGTAGACGCTTCCCCCCCAGCATAGCTGGCATCCACTTTAGGGGTTGGCGTCGACGCGGGCTGTACTAGATTGCCGTAACGCAGTGGCGCATACGTGTTGCGCACGCTCGCAAAGGGCGGCGCTGCTGCGATTGCTGCGGAGGGAGAAGAGCCGTCCGAGTCGCCGCCCCACGCACGCATCACTGGCCCACTGCGCTGTGGGAGACTCACCGTAGGCGGCTGCGCCGGTGCGTTCGTTGGCGGAATCACCAAACAGTTATACCGCACTCCCCCACCAGGCGCGTAGGACGTGCGCGGCGGTGGCACCACCTCCCCACCACGGGCACGCTCGAGGTAGGGGTTGACGTAGTGACTGACGCGGGCTGCGGTGCCGGTGCTGGTGTCGCGCGTGAGGGCGTTGACGGCGGCCGCTTCCGCTGTGGAAAGTGGCTCCTCCGCTGCTGCTGCTGGCCCTGTCGGCGCCGTCACATCTGGTTTGCGTTCACTCGCCAACACTCCCCTCGTGCTCACGGTAAAGTTCGCATACCGATTTCGCGCAACGTAAGCCGTGGGTGACGACGACGGCTGCTGCTGCTGCTGCTCGAAAGGGGAAGCGGTGCGGTCGCTCTTCTGATCCATTTGACTCGACTCCTCGTGCGCCACCACGACCGCCAGGCCGGGCGGGGGCCGCGTGTACGATGGTGGCGGCACCAGAATGCGCCGGATCGGCTGCATCGGCTCCTCTTCCGTGCCACTGCTGCTGCCGCTGGTGTCGCTGCGCCGATCATGCTCCTGTGAGTGTTGCTCCGCCAACTCTTTCGTCGCGTGGTCAGAGGCTACGGGTGCGCAAGCTCCATCGTTGTGGCCGTTGCCTTGCGCGCGCGCGCGCTCGGCGTCTACGCTGTTCTGAAAGGCGGAGTTGTATGTGATGGTTGCCGTTGCCATCACGGTGTCTGTTGCCATGAAGCTGCCGTCCGTGCCCTCTTTCAAAGGCACGTCGTGCGCCGCCGTCGTTCCTCGCCCCACGTTCAATCCACTGTAGTTGTACCGATACGCCGGTTGTCGCTGCTGCTGCTGTTGCGGTGGTGGTGGTCGTGGAGGGCACTGATCACTGGAGCTGACGGAGCCACGCCGGCTGCTGTGGCTGCTGCCCTCCCCATCAGCTCTGTCCGTAAAGGGTTGACTCGGACGGAGAGCATGTGTGTATCCGTGGCCTGAACGACTCGCATCCCCTGCCGCTGCACCACCGTAGGTTTGGCTGTTGCATCGATGTGGCGGACCGGCTTTAGGGAGGCTTCCGCGCGTGGCGGAGGACGACGTCGTCGCTGTCGGTGAGGGCAACGCGCACGGGCCGCCGTACACTGGGCTATCGGAGGGCCTGCCAAGGTGCGAGGTGCTGCTACTTCGACTGGTATACTGCACCGAGAGGTACGGCTGCTGCTGATTCGGATGGTGCTGTTGTGGTGGTGGGAGGGATGACAAGGACATGAATCGTGCGCCGCCAACATCGTGCACGGCAGCACCGTCTGTTGTGGCGGTGGCAAGTGCTTGCGTTTTGTTGGTGTTGCTGCTTCTATCGTTGTGTCGCTGTCGGTGATGATGCTGCTGCGCGCGCTGGCGGCGTCGCTGCTGCTGCTGCTGCTGCCGCCGCGCGTCCATGAGCAGCCGCTCCGTGTCCGCCGCGCTCAGTATCAACGGCGCGCTTTCGGAGTCGACGTCGCTGTGGTGCAGGTGGTCATCGCCATCGTTGTCGCCTCTTCCCACCTCCTCCGCGCTGTCGTCGTCGTCGTCGGAGTTCGCCGTCGTGTGACCGTTGTCCACGGCGCCCCGTCCAGCGTTGTGCATACGCGCTCGCAGCGCCGCCACGACCGCCGCCTCCGTCAGCGTCGACGCTTTCGCTCCGTTCCACATGACGGGATCCGCCGTCTGCCCCTGCCGCTGCACGCCGACCCATCGAGTTCTTGTCGCTGCTGTTGTCGGTGCAGAGGGAGCCTTCGCTGCAGCCGCAGCAGAGAAACAGAGTTGAGATGAGGTGGTGGTCGTGACGGAGAGAGACGGCTGCTGCTGCTGCAACTGTTGCTGGGAGCCGACCAACAACGGCGGCAAAGTTGGCGTCACCGCAGGACGCGCCCATAGACTTGGCGACTGTGTCAGCGATGAGGTGGCGGCATGTGGCAGCCCAGCTGCGACGTTCGTGGTGCCGGTTGATGTGACCTGCCACGGTAAGGACTGGTGTGGGTGGCTGTTTGTGGTTGCTGCTCTTGCTGGGGTGGCGGCGCGAAGATGTTGCGCCGGGCTTCGCGCGAGAGACGACGAGGACGCTGCTGCTGCTGCTACAGTTACTGGTGGGGGTAGAAAGGCTGCGGCGTTGCTCGGGCCGTCGCCTCCGCGTTGAAACTGGTAGTTCATAAACATGTCCACAATGCGAATTACTTGCGGATGGCCTTGCAGGGAGTAGATCACCTCGCACTCCCGCATCGCCGCCAGACGCTCGCGATCGTCTTTGCACAGGATGTACTTCAAGGCGTACTTCTGGCCGGTGGTTTTGTGCTGGACGAGGTAGACGGAGGAGAAGGCGCCTGTGCCGATGCGTTGCAGCAGGCGATAGCGCGAGTCGTGCGTGGTGTTGAACACAACGAGGTCCTTTTGGGTAGTCGCATGGAAAGGAGTGGCCTGCTCGCCATCGTTGGCTCCTGCGGCTGAGCTGCGGACGCCACGGTCGCCCTGCGTACTCTCAACGTTATGACTGTTCACAGTGTTGTTGTGACCGCCTGCTGCTGCTGCTGCTGCTGCTGCGGATGGGGATGCCGACGCAGAGGGTTCTACACCCGCTTCGCGAAGGGCGGGACTGCCGTTGGCAGGTGACGGTTGATGGGCGCTGCACGCTGTCCCTCCACTTGCCTCGCCCTCCCCTCTTCGTCCTTGTTGCCGCTGCTGCTGTCCGCCATCTCCGTCGTGACGCCTTCGCGACTGTTGCGCACGTCGACTTCTGCGCCAGTCGCCGTCTTCCACGAGGGAGTCACTGTCTTGGTGATGGAGGGCCGTCACGCCAAGTACAATCCGCAGCGCCTCAAGAAGACCCGCCGACGGTGCACCACGCCGTTGTTGCCGATGACGTTGCGGTGGTCGTGGCGTATTCGCAGGACGCGGTTGCAGCAGCGGCTGCCGCTCGTCGAGGCGGTCACGCACGTGCAGAGCGACGCCCACGCTGTTGTTGACATCCGCATCAGCGTCTTGCTCCTCATTCTCACCGCTGTCGTCCTCGTCCTCGTAGGCGAGGGGCGTGACGTTGCGCACCGCGGCCACGCGACGAAGCAGGCAGATTACAACAAGCAAGAGAACTACGGTGACGACTAGCAAAGTCGAGACGACGCTGACCACGACGAGGAGCACATCGAAGGCGATAAGATGTGGCGCCGCCGCCGCCGCTGACGCGGACAAGGACAACGGACGCGTGCCGTCGCGCTTGGCGTGGATTACGGCGTCGCTCTTTGCCCGCACCGCTGACGCCGCTGCCGCCGCAGCAGTCGTTTGAGACGCCAGAGCCACCGCTAATCTACGGATCATTGACGATGGTGTGCGCAATCGCGCTAGTGAAGAAGAAGAGATCTAACAACGACAATAGTAAAATACGAGTAGAAGAACTCTCTCCCCCTTCCTCCCTCACACACTAACGTAAGCACGAGTCGTATCTCAAGACCGAAATATCAACCTGCACAGCCCTCTCAAAAGCAAAGTGGGAAAAAGAAAAAAAAACGAGAAGAGAAACAAATACGGTCAGTACATATATATATATATATATATTAATTATTACGAAAGTAATTCAAATCCACTGCATTAAGCAGCACACACACACACACACGTAATCGTTTTGGCGAGCTCCCTTCTCGAGCGTTTCGTTACTAAATCGAAGTCCCAAGCCCTATTATACCAATCGCAAGAGGCAAAGTAGCAGTAAAACAAACAAACGAGTATGTTTGCACAGGTGGGCGAAATAATAATAATAATAATAATAATAAAAGGGAGAGCAATAGAGTTCATAACCAGAGGGGAAAAGAAATATACTGGTATTACAAGTAGTAGTAGTAGTAGTAGTAGCGGTGGTGAGCAAAGCGCGCCCTTTTTTTGTGCAATCTGTGTTTATGAGAAAGTGGTGATTCACACACGTGTGCCCACGTTGCGTGTACTCTCCTCGTTCCTTTCCTTTCTCTCCCTCCTTACGCAGCTGTGTTTCACGCAATTCGAGTGGCGGCGAATGGACAGGCGCATACAAACACGTATCTACACACACACACGACACACAAGACAGAAAAGAAAGCGGCGCTTATCGTTGTGGCGTGCGCTGTGAAGCAAGCAAACCCCCCATCACCTCAAAGCAACAACAACAACATCAGGGGCAGACCAACGTAATGAACAGAGAAGGACGAAGAGGAGGAGGAAGGGAGAAGGAATTCGTCAGCAGTGAGGGGAGGTGCCGACTTTCATTCCGCGCATTTTTTTTTGTTTTCTTCTTCCTCCTGGTCAGTAGTGCGTGACGGCGGTTGCAGGAGGCGCGTCGTAATGACAGAGAAGAAAACAAAAGCCTCGGTGCCACAACTGAGCGGGTGCGTCCTTCCGTTACAGCTTTTCACCCCTTTTTTTCAAAAGACGGTCCTGCCAGTGTGCGTGCCCCGCAAAAGAGATCTACCGTGACGTTCCTCCTCGTCCTCCACCGGCCTCTGCATCTCGCACTCCCTCCTTTCGGTTGTCGGTGTGGTACCATACAAGTAGCAATACCCGAAGGAAGCAAAGTAGCAAAAAAAAAAAACACACGCACACAAACGTTGCAGTGCCTTTCCCGCAGACACACGCGTGTGCTAGTACGACAGCGACCGTCACACGTAAAAACTCCCTCCTCCGATACAGAAGAGGGGAAGCAGAGCGCAGCAACGGCACTGTGTGTGTGTGTTTGCAGCACTAGACATAGTCGTACACCCCCATTAACAAAAATATTTATAATAGATAATCATGGAAAATAAGAATTCACTCGTTTCACTCTCAGGTTCGGTGGTGATGGTGCCGCATCACCTCCAGCTGCGTCGTTCAGTTCCCCGTGCGGTGGAGAAGGAGGACCCAGGCGGTGCCGACATAAGACGGCGAAGACATCACAGCGCGTCTTCCTTTCCTTGTTCTTCATCCTCGGGGTGGTCATCAGCGCTGCGCCACTGCGTCCGTTGCGCGCTGTGCGGCGGCTGCGTGCTGGCGACCCGAGTAGACGGCGGACCGGACAGCGATAACGACGACACGACGACGACGGCACTACGCACGCCCTCTCCGCTCTTGTCTTCTTCGCTTTCCTGCTGAGGTGCTTTGCGTGGGCCGTCCGTTGGCTGACCTTCATGCGCACGCGCCGTCGCGGCGAGAAAGCCGGTACTATCACTTTCACATTCGCGCTGGTGATTTCGTTGTCGCTGCGGTTGTTGCTGAGGAGTTTGTGAGACCGCAGAGGCGAAGGGGACCGCCGCCTCCGCGTCTTCCACCGGTGCGGCGTTCGCGGCTTCCCAGTCAGACGGCGTAGGTGTGGACACGAAGGACGCCGGACGAGCGGAGGCGACGTGCATGGCGGGCAGCGGCGCTGGTCCTTCACGAGTCGTTGCACGCCGTTGATACGGCGAGGATTGTTGCGATGCATGATCAACAAGATCCACAACACCACTACGGACTCCGCCATCGTTTTCTTCTTGCTCCTCGGGTTGCTGTGGAGGTGCAGCTCGAAGCAAGGCGGCAAGTGGGGCCCGCTGAAACAGCGGTTCCCCTTCCTCGTTCGTCGGGTGCCGTCGCAGCATGCCGAGGGCCTCCACCGCGCTGGGTCGATCATCCGGCTTCACCGCCAGCAGAGCGGTAATGAACCACGCAAGCGCATCACTGTAGCCGTAGATGCTCTCCAGCTCGTGCCGCAGCTGCGCGTGAAAGTCGGGCTGAGCGCACTCGCTGAACATCACCTTGACGTTGCTGCTGTCTACCCGTTTGGCGCAGACGGCGTAGAGAACGCAGCCGAGGGCCCAAATGTCGACCTTGGCGGAGTAGCGCCGCTGCCAGCACTCCGGTGCCACGTAGGGCAGCGAGCCCACCCCTGTCTCGCAGAACGTCTTGTCCATCACCCGTGATAGTCCGAAGTCTGTCACGACAATCGGCAGAAAGTCCTCGTTCACGTTCTCGTAGTGCACGTGCGTTGACAGCAAAATATTCTCCGGCTTCAGGTCACGGTGGATGATGGGGGGTTGATGACGATGGTGCATGTACGATAGCAGCGATAGAACCTGGAAAGCGATGCTGACCACGGTTGCCTCGGGAATGAAGGGCTGCAACGCCCTGCGCTGCCGCACCCATCGCGCGAGATCGCCGCGCTCGTGGTAGGCCATGACGAGGCTGAGGTAACGCTCCGCCTGCAGGGAGGAAAGACCACGATGATGATGATGATGTGGAGCGACGGCGTCCGTAGCGGCCTGCGTGTCCGCTGCCGTCGCGCTCTCTGTCCGCTGTTGTTGCTGGCGCTGCGGTGGAGGTGTGGTGGAACTCTCCGTATTATCGTCCCTCAACACTCCGGCCGTCACGGCGTCAAAGTACGTGCTGTCCAGGTGCACAACCGGCAGGGATGTGGCGGAGGTCTCCGCAAAGGTTGACGTGGAGGAGAATGCGCCGTGCAACGATGACTGCTGCGCTGCTGCGACGACGACTGGTCCAACGGCGGAGGTGAACCCTGTTCGTTCAGCGTTGTCGTTGGTAGCGGCACTGCGGCTGTACTCACGCCCTTGCCTTTCACAACGTAGCGTCGGTTTGCTGTTGTCGATGCTGTTGCCGCGTGCTGCCGCCTCCGTTGCTGCCGCTGTGGAAGCGTCGTGTGGCGAAGCTTCCGCGCGAGGAGTAGTCGAAGTGATAGTCGTCGCCGAGGAAGCTGAGGGAGGCGACGGAAGGAGGCAGGGTGAGTTACCACGGTTGCCTGCTGCGTTGGCCTCCGCGCCTGCCTCCTCATCTACGCCTGCGCTCCTCGCTGCCTCCTCCTGCTGCGGTTGTTGCGGATTGCCACCTCCTTCTTTCTTCGACGTCTTCTGCTTCTCTTTCTCACCTGTGACACGTACCGTGTCAGCCGCACCCCTACTCCGTCGCGAGCGCGGCACGGTCACCATGTGTCGGTCAAACCGGTACGACATAAACATATCAAAGAGTTGAATCACATTCGGGTGCCCCTGCAGCGCGTACACGACCTCACACTCCTTCATCGCCTCATGCCGATCCACGTCATCGCTGCACTGCACGTACTTCAACGCGTAGGTGGTGTTGTCGGTGATGCGGCGAACTAAGTACACAACCGAAAAGCTGCCTTTGCCAAGCTTGCGGATCACCTCGTACTTGCCATCCAGCAGACGACGCCGTTGCTGCGGCGGTGTGGCGATGACGGCGGAGTCCCACGCCGCACCGAAGCCCGCCAGGCCCCCGCCGCCCACCCCCGCCGCGTTCAGCGCCGTTTCGTACTCCTCAGGAAGGTCATCGTCCATATAGTTGCACTCACCACCGGCGATGCCGCCAGCTCCGCCGGCAAAACCGACTGTTCCCCCCGCACCAAAGCCTCCGTCGACGCCTAAGAATATACGCGCCTCCCGGTACGGGACTAGGCTGCGTTGCTGATCCGGATCGGGCGTGTCCATGAACGCGACGTCGTGCCGCCGTGTGCGGTGACGGACATATCCCGGCATTACGACGAAGGTGACGACGATGTACCCGACGATCATCACCAGGAGGACAATGAGGGTCGTGAGCAGCATCCACGAGCGCAGGAGGCGGTGCGGCGTTGGGATGAGCGGGCTAGCGTCATCATCGTCGCCACCTCTTCCGCTGCCGCCACTGCTGCTGTCCTTCTCGCTGCAGCACGGAAGTTCTGGCGATAGTACGAAGGGCTGATGTGGGGAGAGGGTTTCGTAGAAGCGCGTGCTGCAGGCCGCAGCGCGATAGCGGTCCGCTTTGACTTCTCTCGTACCGTTACCATCCGCCTTCGGCACCGTTTTAATAGTAGTAGTAGTAGTAGTAGTAGTAGTAAGTGAAGCAGAAAATAACTCGCTGCGCCGTCGCTGATGAGAAGCCCCGCAGCTCGCGATGACGCCGGGCCGGAGTGAGAGGCACACGTGGACGAAGTCCTGTGGGTAATACAGTAGATGACCACTTTGTGGCACATCTCCATCCTGGTCGTCATGCGATGGAGAACGCTGGCGATGTACTTGGCGAGAAGCAGCGCGCAGCCGCACTGGTCGGTAAGCAACAGTCTTCCACAGCGTGCCGTTGTAATTATCGCTAGCATTGCGGATGCTACTGCCGATGCTTCTGCCCTCTTCGCCGGCCGCCATGACACGCATAAGTCCGTGCTCCAGGGATCCTATCAACAGCGTCTGCGCTACGGCAAACGCCCTCTGCGTGCCCGTCACGTCTCCCACCTCGTTGTGCACAGGGACTGTTACCACACGAGCGTTGCGCGGACTCAGGTGACGGAGCTCCACAATCGGCTCATCACACTGCGGAGAGGCGGACAGCATCAGCGAACACGCCGAAAACGAAGCGGGTGCGTCACTGCTTTGCGAAATCCCCGGACACGCCCGCTCCGTCTCCACGTGGGAGAGCAGCACGGAAAAAGATATGTTGTACCACAGCGGGGTGTAACCGTTGACAGCGACGCAGGTGCTGCCGTTGTTGTTTGGGATCGCCGCCGCGTCCGCCGCGGCGGCTGGCGTCATTTGAATCCTTTCAGCTGTACTAATGCTGTCGGCGGGGGCCGTGTTCACCTGACCTGCCATGCCGCTTGTGGCGGTCTCTTCGTGTTGGCGGGGGTGTATGACGCGTGTATAGGAGAGGCCTAAGAGCTTGGGGGAAGCTGCGGACACGTCGGCGTCTTCTTGCGGCGTGCCGCTCTCGGAGCAGGCGTAAAAGGTAGCTTTGAACACCTCCGTCGCCGCCGCACCGCGATCGCTGCGCGAGAGCGGCGGACTCCGACCACCGAAGAGGTAAAACGACACTGTAGCAGCACCGTCATCGTCATCATCAGAGGAGGACGGCGAGGGCCACAGCGCCACCACCGCGTCGCGCCGCGCGGGGACGAGTGCGAAGTCTATATACGAAAAAACACCGTCTCTTTCATCCTTCGAGGCGGGGGCTGCGTCGGCCGCCTTGTCTGTTTGCGTCTCTGCCTCTACCCCATCGGGGGCAAGCAGGTCGGCTACCGGCCAGACACGCGGCCTGTCCGTCAGCAGGGGGGGCGGTCGGGCGGCGAGGGGGATGGACATGTTCGCCCAGCACGCCACCCCGCCGTGGGGCCGCCGGCCCCCCGCGCCCAACATAAACACGGCAGCGCCGCGTACAAACAGCTGCGGCGCCGTCCACTGCAGCTCGCTCGCCAGCTGGTTGGATGCGTAGCGCGCCACCGTGCTGTCCAACACACCGCGCTCGGCAGCGACGATGCCGAGTTGCGTGTGTTAGTCCCGACGCTGCCGTGACGGATCAAAAAACGTCGGCGTGTCGTGTGCGGAGAAGCCGCCAGCGAAGAACACGAGGCCGCTGTCGGACGCCGCCGCGGGGCTGACAACGGGTGTATCGAGCGACCAGACCCCCTCGACGAAGGTCTCCGTTGCCGTGTCGAACTGCGCGACAGAGGCGAGGCTTTCCCCGGTGCGGGCGTGCGTGCCGCCGACGATGTACACAGTACCGCGAGGCCCGGCCACACAGGTGGCGTTGAAGCGCAACGTCATGGAAGGAGGCTGGTAGATGACGTGCTGGTGCAAGACGGACGCATTGGCGTTCGCGTAAAGCTGAAGGCGCGTGACAGAGCGTAGGTAGTCTTCCACAAGGCGCACTTGCGGTGAGGGGGCGGCACTGTTCGCCGAGGATGCGGCGCGTGCACCACGCACACCGCCTTTCCGATTCTCCGTCGCTCGAAGGAGGTCCAGGCTTACCTCGGGTGGAATCGTGTTACACGCACCGAGCGCGTACACCCGATTGCGCACGCGCACTACGCTGCCGCTGCCCACTACCGGAAAGGGCAGGACGGCGTCGGCAGTGCTGTTCTCCCGCGCTGCCTCGATGCACCGTTGCGGGACGTCATCCCTCACTTGCCACGCTGCGCCGTTCGTCTTCAACGTTGACGAAGGTAGTTTGTGCAGCGCGTAGGTTTCAGAGACCGGGAGCGGACAGCGAAGGCTACTTCGATTCGGTCGCACCTCCGTCGCCACCTCCACACGGCCCTCCGTCGGCTCGAACAGGTTCACACCGCGCTTTGTGTGGTGCATCGTGTAGTTGAACACGTCGACCGAGCTCGGCAGATCGGTGACGCCACCCATCACAAGAATGTGACGTCCCAGCGGGATAGCCGCCGCAGCAAACCCGACATCGCGAAGCACCGCATTTCGCACCAAGTCCCAGCCTTTAACACCCGGTACACACGCCGGAGTGACTAGCTTTTGCAAATGCCCGCGCTGATCTGGTGCGCGGACATGCGGCGTAGTGGGTGTGCTGCGGCGTGCGCTGGCGCTCACGCTGCGTGCGCATGTACTGCGCTGTGCCACAAGACAGCAGAAGAGGAGGAGACACGCAATGAGGAGAACGCAGAGGCGAGGCAGCCGCGGTGCGGACCGACTGGGCGTGCAGCCCGGCCGTCGAGCGTGATGCGACGTGCAACTACTGAAGAACGATGACATGACTTGGATAAAGAAAGAAAAAGGCCTAAAAGAAACGGCTGAAGAAAGGAGAAAGAGCGAGCAGCAGCAGCAGAAAAAGGGAAATAAAATTGATATAAAAGGCACTCGATGTGTGTACATGCTACATGTACGCGTGGAAGGCCCCCAGGAACTCCACCTATGTTCAACGAAAGATGTATATGTATACAGAATTGGGGGAAAAGGAGCTGTACTGCGCACGCAGAGAGAGAGAGAGAGAGAGCAACAGCAATAGTAATAATAAATAATAAAGCCGTATTAAGAAATCCCATCACCACAACTAGCGGCGTTGGAGGAGAGGTCAAGTCTCCCTAGGAGCTGATGTGCGCAGAGTGGGAACTCTTCGCTTCTCGTCTCGCTGTTCTTGTTGCACTGAACACAGAATAATAATAACAACCACCACCGCCAAGCGACACGTGCGTTAGAGAACGAAAGGAGGGGGAGGGAGCGAGGATGAAGGAGCGGGGGAGAAGGCACGAAGGGAGATTCCTCCACCTCCGAAGACGCAGCGAGGACGACGCACACCGATCGCTTCGCCAATTCCAACGCGCGAATCCGGGAGAGAGACTACAACCCGACTTCGTCCAACACATACATTTCCTTCCTTTCTCTTTTAAGGAAGCCTTATACATGCAGTGAAACGCACAGGCGCGTCGCGCACGCCGCGCCGCAAGCGAGGTAACATGCGCGAAGAAAGCAAAGAACCAAACAAGCAAACAAACCAACACGCTTCCATGAAATAGTGGCCCCGCATGCCAGCAGATAATAAATGTAGATGTATGCAATGTGATGTACTCCATACGCAACGAGAACAAAACGAAGAAGAAAAGGAGAATAGCAACGAAGATAACTTCCGTTAACACCAGCGGCGCTTGCGCAGCTGCATCCACGCCGTCCGCTCGTTCAACACCACAGCCGCCGCTCTGCTGCCGTCACCGCCACGTGCGCTGCGTGCGTCCTCCTCACGAGCCGTGCCCGCCCGCGGCACCGGTTGGTTCAACTCGGAGAACCCCGCCATCACGGGGCTACCGCCGTTCGTGGTTGCTGACGAGGCAGCGGCGGGAACCACCAAACGAACTTGATCAACAATTTCTGCGGCGGAGGGGCGGCGTGCCGCGACAGGGGAGAGCATACGACCCATCAACTGCGCCAGTGTGAGACTGTATCCGGCGCTGAGAAACGCGTCTGCCACCTCGTCTTCCAGCGCACAGGATCTAGGCCACCACTCACGATCGACGTCGCACACGCTTTCTTCGTCCCGCTTCGCATGGGATTCCCTTGCGGCTGATGCTGCTGCTGCTGCTGGCTCAGCTTCACATGCGGGAGAAGAGCCGTACGCGAGGCTAAAGAGGTCCCCCAACAACGCAGCGAACACACGCTGGGCGAGTACCGAGGTACCGGCGATCGGCACGACCGTGTCCGCCGCTGCTGCTGCTGCATCTCCTGCCAGCGGATGTGGACCGTGATGTGTCTCTGCGCACGCAGGAGGCCTCCCTTGTCCACCTTCCCCGCGACTTTCAGTGTCCTTGGTCAGTGCATCGGTGCACATCTCGTACAGCAGCACCCCCAAGCTCCACACATCGCTCGCCGTGTCCATCGCCAGAACACGTTGAATCAACACCTCATACACGCTGGAGCTGCTCTGACTGCCGCCGCCGTTGTTGCCGCCGCCGCCGCCGACGGCAGCGCAAGAGCGCGAGTGCTGGGCGGACCGGTAGGTCCCGTGCGGAGGCGGCCACACTGGGGAATAGGCTTGGCTCGATAACGGGAAACGAAGCGAAGAGGTCGACGCTGGCGCTGGAAGGGCAGAAAACGGGGTAGTGGCACCGATCGGCGTGGCGCCCGCGGCGTCGGACAGCGTCGAGGGCACCCCACCACCCGCACGAGCCACCGCGCCGACGTTGGCACGCTCACGCGGCGGCTGCCGCGACACCCGCGTCAAGCCCTCCGCCTTCCACATGGTGGAGGTTAGCAGAGACACCTCCTCTGGACTGAAGACCCCCTCCTCCTCCTCCTCTTCCTCTTCCGCTGTGCCGTCCTCGCCTTCGTCATCCGCCGCCGTGTCCTCTCCACGGGCATCGTCACCGGCTTCTTCTCCATCGTCATTGGTCTCGCTTTCTCCGTCCTCTGCGCCGTCCGCAGCTCCCGTTTCGTCAACAAACCGGCTAGGAAACATCACATCATCACTTAGGTCCTGCGACACAACTTCCGCCGCCACCGGCGTGGCGCTCGTGTCAGCGCGGCGGTGATCGTTTGGGCGCGACGACACGGATGCTTCACGCCGGGCGCTGCTCCTGCCGCCTTCCTCGCCGGCATCGCCGTCCGTTCGCACCACCGCGACAATACAGGGTGGTATCTCATCGCTAAGCTGCGGTGCGGCTCGGCGAGCGGTGCGCCGTGCGGGCTGTCGCTGACTAGAAGCGGTGTTCTCGCCCCGCCGTCTAACACCGCTACCGCGACGCCCCATGGACGATGACGGCACTGCTGCTGCAGCGGCTGCTATCGTGGCGGCGGAGGAGAGGTCACACAGCTGCCCCCAGACCAACTCCGGCGCGATGTGCGTGGGCACCTCAATGAAGCACCATAGAAAGTGTGCCAAGCCCATTACCGCCACTTCTGATGGCGCTCCCGCATTCAGAGCAGTATTCGAAGAAGAAGACACGTAGAGGTCCGCCCCTCCTCCGCGAAGGCGCCGGTAACGCGCCAGCCAGCAACGACCCGCTGGGGTCTGCCGCAGGGTGGAGCGCGTCGTGAAGCCGAAGCAGCCGCGCAGGCGCTGCGGCAGCTGCACCGCCAGCCACCACGACATCCCTCCGTCCGTCAGACTGACCGGAAGGTACGACTTGGAGCTCAGGTACCACTCCGGCGGTGGCGGCGGCGGCACCCGAGAAGAGGATCGGGACAGACGTCGCCCGGCTGTTGTTGCAACGGCGGCGGCGGAGGGAGCACTCCGGCAAGGCGGGGGCGGCGCATCCGCCGCGGGTGTGGTAAGGGAGGTGAGAGATCCGGCGCGCCATACGGAGGCCGCCGCAGCTACCACAAAACTACTCGTGCGCCACGATGAAAAGGAGGGAGACGCAGCTGTCCCCGTTGCTGCTGCTGCACCGGCGCTTGACGACGGTGGGGGTGGTGACGGCGCTGATGTGCCCAGCGCTTCAGCTGAGCCCACGCACGATAGTGGTGGGGGACGACGCTGGCGTCGGTGATGGCCGTCAGCACCCGGAGAGAGGCGGAGGTCAACACCAGCGTCTTCGCTCTGCGTGTCGCTGCTGTGCGTCGTGGGCGTCGTCGTGCTCAAGACGGGGGTGTGCACGCGACGCCGCGCCACAGAGAAGGTCGTCGGCTCCCGCAGCAGCACGTTGGTGGCCTTCACGTCGCCTTGCAAGATGGGCGGCGACTGCTGATGCAACAGCTGCAGCCCAGCGCCCACTTGGAACAGAAGAGAGCAGATCAATGACTCTGTCCAGCAGTGGTGTACGCTCGGCAAGACAAGCAGGTGACCGGCGATGCTGCCGCTGCCGCTACCACTACTGCTGCAGCTTGCTGTTGCGTTGTCTCGCCCTTCCTCCACGTGATGGCGGCCCCCGAAGTTGGCCAACGGCCACGCGTCGGCTGGCAGGACGTGACGAGCGCGTTGCACGAAGTCCGCTAGATCCCCTGCGCGCTCGTACGGCATCACCAAGCACAGACTCCACGCACTGACCGTCGACTGTTGCAGCGCGTTGACGCAGGCATCCCAGCACACCCGCGGCGCTCCACTCGCCACGGACGCGACGAAGGCACGCGCAGCCGGGGAAAGGCCGTCCTCGCCGGCCGCTGCGCTGGTTCTCTTCTGCTCCTTCTTCACCGTCCTCGTTCCCGATAAGCGATCGCAAATGCCCTTTCCGGCCTGCCGTGTCGTCTCATTGGGATCCTGGCTTCCTTTACGGTTCTTCATCGTTTTCGGCGGCCCCGCATACACGCATTGCCGGTTCCACTGTGCTGTAACACGGTACAGACTCGGTGACTGGCGCGCCCCACCCACACCCACAATGAGCCCTGCGCCACGGTGCGGGTGCTGCTGCTGCTGCTGCTGCTGCTGCTGCTGCTGGAGCACACTCACTTCGTAGGACACAAAGAGATCCGCCGGGAGGAGTAGGAAGAGGGAGAGAACGACGTCTACTTCGTGCGGGTCCAACCAGGCACAGACGCCTTCGTCGTCCGCTTCGTCCATCGTCCTCGCTGCTGCTGCTGCTGCTGCTGCTGTTGGTGGTGGTGGTGGGGCCACGCCATGCTGCGTACGGGTGTCGACGCTTTGATGTGGATGCGCCTGTGTTGGAAGGTCTGCACCGGCGAGTGTCGGCGACCCAGAGGCGGTCGGAACCGACGCGTCACGCGAGGCCTCGCTCATCAGCGCGCTGGCCGACGCGGGAGGTGCGGTGCCCTCCGACGGAGTCAGCATGCGTCTGTCGTGAGCCCGTTGCTGCTGCTGCTCCTCATCTCGCAACCAACCCATCGTCGTACCGCCGTTCGTGCTGCCACGACGGCTGCTAATGGTGTTGCTGCTGCGGCTGCTCGATACACCGGCGAGGTTGAGGACACCACCGCCGGCCTGCAAGTCACGCAGACGCTCGCACAAGCGAGTAATGACGGCGCGAGTGGTGTCGTCTGGGCACTGCGTGTACTTCACGACGACGGCAGCCTTCTGGTCGTAGCGCGCAGCCCACAGCGAGGAGGTAGTTGAGAAGGCCGAGGCCTGTCCGCCGCCTGCTCCGTTGGCTGCTGCTGCTGCTGCTGCCGGCCCTGGGAAGGGAGAAAAGGGGAGCAGGGGCGCACCGCGACGCGCAACGTCTGCTGCCCGGGAAACAGGCGGATACCCTCCACTCAGCGCCCGTGACGAAGAGGACGGGGCCGGGGTAGGCTTACGCAGCGCCAAGAAACAAAGCGAGTGGTCGCCCTGACCCACGCGAGATAAGATGCGGTAGCGATGCTGGTGCAGCCGCAGCACGTCCGCCGCGGACTTCAGCATGCGTGCCTCGCTCGCCTCCGCGACCGCCGCGACAAGCTGCTGGTAGTTGTCGATCTGCGTCAGCGGGCCGTCAGTGTCTTCACTGTTTGGCGTGGGCCCATCCACGCCCTCGTCATCACCACTACCACCGGCAGCAGCGGCAGCACCATCACCGTCCAACTCCACGTCTCTACCAGGGACACGGGTGTAGTGGTGTCCGCGACGACCTCTGCTGCCACGCGTCGCCGCCGCGGCAACAGCAGCAAACCGATCACCCCCGCTGCCGCTGCCGCTGCCTCCGACGCCGCTCGCGCTTTGCGAATAGCGCCGCGCAAATAGGTCCTCTACTAAAAGTCCTTCTTCCGGCACGTGCTGCAGCCGCGCCACGAGCAGCACCGCGACCATCAACGTCACAATGCTGATCCCCACCGCCAGCATGAACAGCGGCGAGCTGGTCGTCTTATCGGAGGGGTCCCGTGTCGGGGTTGGCGTCGTCGGTGGCCGTGTCGGCGTGTTGTCAAGAATGCGTAGCGGCATCATCGGGTTTAATACTGTGAAGGAGCGTTGGGTGCGGCACGCCGGCCAGGTGGTCGGCTGCACGACGTAGCCGAAGCACACGTAGACTGGCGTCGTGCTGCCACTCGCGCTGAAGAGCACCGAGGCGTTTGGGGCGCCGTTGTAGAGCGTGTCGAGGGTGCCGGCGGTGTTGCCCACGCAGTCGCGCCGACTGCTTAAGCGCACCACACACACCACCTCCTCCTCTTCTCCTTCATCTTTGGCTTGTTGACGAGCGCCATTGGACTTCCACGAGCAGTATCGTGTGTAATTCACATTGGGGAAGTCAAGGTGGATGGTGCCCTCGGATGTCGTCTGCAGGGTGAGCCCCGCGGGCCAGATGGGCGTAGGCATGCGAACGGCGAGGAGGTCGTCGCGGTCGGCGTCGTAGTCGCTGTCTGGCACGTACCGCTCCGCCCACCGCTGCGCAGCAACTCGTCGAACGACCACCTCATGCGGCGGACGGGGGCTTGCGCTGCTGGAGGGGGCGTGGTCAACGGAGAACGCCGATGCCGCCGTCTTCACACCCTTTGCCGCGACTTCGCTGGTGTGCTCCGGCACCTCCTGCGTCCAGATGTCCTCGCCACCGAGTGCCATGAAGACGAGAATGGTGTCGTTGCTTGCGTCTGCGTCTGGTGCTGGCGTGGAGCTCGGTGCTGCTGACGTTGTCGTTGTCGTAGTGGTTGTCGTGGTGGTTGTGTCGTTCGAGGCGGCGGCGGTGACAGCGATGGAGGAAGCGCCTGGTGGCTGACTCACCCAATGCTTTGCACCCCTCCCAGCCGATGCTTTGCGAGACAGCGGCAGGGATATCAACATGGGTCGCTCCCATCGATAGTGGTAGACCGGCTCGGGTGGCGGTGCGGGTGTGGGCGTCGGCGTAGGAGGCGGAGGCTGAGATGAAGACGATATCGAGCTGCTGCCACTGCTGTTGCTGCTCTGCTCCTCACTGCTCGTATTTGTGGCGACGTCGACGAGCGCTTTGGCTCCCCCAGAGAGAAATGGCGAGCCCAGGACGCCTTTCAGATGAGCGGCACGAGTAAGGTGTGACGGCCGCTCTCGTGTAATTGCGGAGATGTGGAGCGACCAGGCGGATGTTGCTCGCACGTCCAGCACCGCGAGGTGAGCGAGGTTGTGGTCCGCCAGCACGACCTGACCGCCAAACACCGACGTGTGACAGCCCTGCTCTGCTAAAAGAATGTGCTGTACCACGTCCCGCGGGAGGAGACTTGCGTCGACGGGCGAAAGACAGATGGCGGAGGCTCCGCACAGACGTCGCGGCGCTGTTGCGTCGTGTGCTTCGCGCTGAAGGCGCTCGCCTTCGAAGAACAAGAGATCAAACAGGTACTCCACGCGCGGCGTGAGCGGTGAAGGGACGAGGGAAGCGGACGGATTCTTCTGTTCCTGAGAAGGGGAGGCACTCGCCGCGTACGTCCACCCGCCTGTCACCGCTGCAAAGCCGGTCGAGGCTGCAACCGACGGCTGGAGCACCGGAGAAGAAAGAAACACCACCGCGGGCTCGTACTTGCGGGTCACGACGTTGAAGGCGTCAACGCTGGCCGTCACGCGCTGCGTCGAGAGCAGGAAACCACCAATGATGAGGATCGTGTTCTCCGTCGCGAGGGCCGTGCAGCTCGCGTTCACCCGCACGCGATCGGTGGGGACTTCGTAGTAGCTCAGATTCACGCCAGGCGCGTCGCCAACCGCACCGTTTGTGGCCTTCTTATCCTCCGGATAGAACGCCACCACTGGGGTGTAGGCGGTCTGCAGTGACTGCACCTCCTCCCTCGACATCGCGGCGATGTCCCCTGGCGAGAGCGTCGTCATGGTGCAGCTGCGCGGCACGTACACGCTGTCGGTCAACGTGACAGCGGCGTGCCGACCGGCGAAGCCGAGACCGGCGGGAAGCGTCAGGCGCGCCAGCGGCGTTACCGTTTTCGTTCCCACCTCCAGCGCGATGGAGCGCTCGTGATACCGCGAGTCCGCTGCGTTTAAGCGGTGTGTGCCAGTCGAAAATAGCGGCGGCGGTGCCTTGTAGGCGTTAGATGATCGCCCCCCGGCGGAAGAAGAGGGGACAGGAAGAGCAGCAGCATTTTTGCGAGTGAATGAAACTGTCGGGTCGCGGGCGTACGCGGGGCTTTCCGTGTCACCGACAGGAATCTCACACGTGGAGCTGACGCACCCGCCGAGGAGGATAATCGAGTTGTCTAGCACGGCCGTCGCGGCGTGAAAGATGGGGTAGGGCAGCAGCGACTCGTTCATCAGCTGCCACGGCGCTGCGGGAATTGCGGGTGGGAGAGGTCCCGCAACCGGTGATGATGCCGCGCGCGCGAATACACACACGCGGGGGGCGTGCAGATGCCGTCGCGCCGTAGCGGTCGCATAGAGCGTGTCACGCGATGCACGTACTCCTGTGGCTGCTGTTGCGTCGTGTTCGCGGTGCAGATCAGCGGCGGCGAGGAGGAGCAGTAGGGAGAAGAGCAGCGTGAGTTGTGTAGGCAGGCGAGGACGGCAACAACAAGAGCGGCTACATACCGGAGTCATTCTGGTGGCACGACCTTCGCGCTCGAATACCACTTCAACACACAACACCCACCCCCACAGACACCAATAGGAAGAGGCCAGGCAGAGACGGAATCACTCCTCATAAAAGAAGACGGGAAAACGGCGGAGGAGAGGCAACGGAGTATAACAGCGAAAGAGAAGAATCCATACGGGTTGGAAATAATAATAGTACTAATGTGGCTGGGATGATTTCGAGCGAGCGCACGTATTCTGTAAAGCGTCGGGGAACGCGGCCCGAATGGCGAGAGAAAGTGCGGAGAGAGGACGAAGAGGACGAAGAGGGAAAACAACAGCAAAGGAAATGAGGTGCATCGTAAAGCTCGTAAGAGACATCATCAAGGTGGCGAAGTGGCATTCCCTCCTGCTGCTTCTGATAAGCAGAACTGGCATTCGACACCAGCTCCATATGGCCAACAACAGCTAATGAATAGCTCGAAAAACAGAGTATTGCTCGAAGAGCGAGAGAGAGAGAGAGAGAAAAGAGAAAGCCCTTCGGCTGTAGACAAACACCGTCATTCCACAGACATCAAGCGCTCGTCGTACACGCGGAAACCTCTCTCTCCTTCTTTGCTCATGTCGGCGCCACCGTCACCGTTAAGCGTAGGCGCGCGCCACAGCTGCTTGGTTCATTCTTCAACAATTCCAGCTCCATTTCCGCTGACCGTGCTATTCCTTTTCGTGCGTTCTTCTTCTCCGTTGTTCTGCGGCTGCGTAGCGCTGCCGTTACGCTTTGAGTTTTGAGACCGCGACTGAGTAAGAGAGAAAGAGAAATGGGTTCCTTTTTTGTATCATGGCACCCTGCCATCACCACCACCACCACCACCACCACCAAACCCCAACAACGACAAACTCACGCTTGTATAATACTACTGATAATACGACTTCCAGCTGTGGAGGACACCGAGGCACGGCTGATGGACGCTGCCGTACGCACCTACACCTCTGCATCGCCAACACCACAGCAGCAACAAATAACGGTGAGAGAGAACAAAAAAAGGCCGTTCCGACGAACAACGAATCATCAGGATCGGCCGAAGACGCATTTTTTTTGTTTTCCCTTTTAAGCTGCACGTTACACGGTTTGAGGTTTTTGTTTTTTTAAGGAAAGTTGAAAACAAAGAAGCATCAACCACACACAAAAAAGTTCACTACGACAGACCGTGTAGGGATGGCAAACCACTGCTAAGAAGAGCAATAACAATAATAAGCGGTAACACATATCCATGCCCAGAGGTGCTTTGCTGACACCCCTCTGCCGCGCGTTGTTATTACTATTATTATCCTTCTTTTTCGCTTCTCCCGTTGAGCCTCATCCACCACGGGAAACAGAGAAGTAGGAATAGTAGAAACTGACGGTGCGCACTGACATTCATTTATTGAACTACTTATATATATGTCGATACAGAGAGCGAGAGAGTTACAAAGATAGGGGAGCTAATGTAAACTACGCGAGACGTAAAACACACGTTGCTTTTCTCCTACTTAGAGACGCGATGTGGCGATCAACTTCGCCGCACCGTGTCGCGCCCTCTCCCCCTCTCTCCCTCTGGTTTTCCTTTCCTTCTTCCGCACCCCTTTAGAAATAACAAACAAACAAGGCCTGTCATTCTCGGCTACGGAAGAACTCCCACCTTCCCCTCAGAAGAAGAAAATGCACACTTGGAGCCCCTCCAAAAAGCTGTAATCGCCGCGGTGACGTCCACACTTACGACTTGTCGAACAGCGTGGCGAGAGTGTTCTCCGTGTGTATCTTTTCAATAGCACGCGCCAGCAGCGGCGCGATGGGCACCACGCGCAGTTTGCGCGCCAGCTGCGGGTTCCGCATCAGCTCATCCTGGTTCACGCTGTCTGTCACGATGATCAGATCAATCGGCGCCTCGATCAGCCGCTCCACCGACTTGCCGGACATGACGGCGTGCGTGGCGACAAGAATGATTCGTTCTGCGCCATTTTCGTGGAGGTTTTTGGCTACCTGCGTGATCTTCACCGCCTCATCCACCAGCGTCTCAACGATGATGCAGAGGCGGTCCTTTGCCTCGCCCACCAGCACGTAGTTCTTGTACTCGGTGCGCGTCTCCTGGATCTGCCGCACCAGTGACTGACGGCCTTCCTCTTGCTGTCGAAGGGCCTTTTCGAAGCCGAGGGTACTCGTGCTGCGGTGCATGCTGTTTGTCAAGCTTTGCCGAAGCTGCATCTGCGCCAACGTCGCGCTCGCCGTCGCGTTGAAGGTCGCAGTGGCCGCCGCAGCATTCGCGGCCAGCGGCGACAGCTCCGACGTGACATTGTCGAACACGTTTGGCGAGTTTGGGCTGTGCGGGTACTGGAACTCGCGCGACCCGACCGGGCTATTCGCGATCAACGCGTTCAACTCCACGCTGCCCATGCCGCTGCTGGTGGGTGTCACGGTGCCCTCTAAAGGCGGTACGCTGATCGGCGTGGACTTCTTCTGCGGAGACGCAGCCACCGCTGCCACCGTAGCCGTAGCCGTGGCCGCCTCTGCGGGAGACACTCCGCTGCTGTTGCTGTTATTAAAGTCGGTGTTGCCGTTGCCGGCGGTGTGAGGGACGCGGAGGGCCGGCGGGACCAACTCCACCATGTTGCGCGCGTACGCTTGCGATGACGGCCGCGTCTGCCGCGTCTCCACCCGCTTCACCGCCGTGCAGACCGAGACGAACTGCGTTGCGCTGTCCAGGTCGTTGTAGCGCATCAGCGCATCCGCAAACTCCTTCGCGCGGCCGAGGAACTCGCCCGAGGGGGCGACAATCGTGATGTTCTTAAACTCGTTCCCCTCACTCTTTAGCAGGTTCGACACGTAGCGCACAAACTCGTACATGGCCGAGATGCTCTCCATGGGAACCGAGAACATGCCTTCCACCTGGTCACTGTGCATGTCGACAGTGATGACGTGGTGGCATCCCATCGCCTCCAGCAACTCCGCCACGGCCGAGATCGAGGCGACGTTACGGGTGTAGGCGAGAAATGGAATGACCGCCGTGATGCGCGCGGCGGCGGCGAGCTGGACGGAGTGAAGCAGCAGTGCGAGCTCCATCAGCGCCCCCGAGTTGCTCAGGCACTCCGCCTCAATGCCGACCATCGACTGGACAACGAACACGTCGTCGCCGCGCACCGGGCCGGGCAGGTCCACGCTGACCTCGCCGTTCGCGAAGCGGCCACAGCTCTTGCCCGGGTAGCGCGGGCACTGCAACACCTCGGTAATCATCTTCTCGGCGAATAGGCTGCACGAGCCGGCGAGGACGCGAACGGCGAAGCTGCCGGGTCTTTCGTGGTGTGGGAACGCATCCGCGAAGTAGAAGGTCTGGCTGTTCGGCAGGATCCGTCGCGCCGTCATGCCGGTGCGGAACTCGTACTCCCGCATGTGCTGCGTCGCTTCCTCGTAGGTGAAGCGGAACACCGTCCCGTAGACGGCGATGAGGTTGAGCGCCGCCCCGCGGAGATCGAGTGAGGGCTGCTGGACGTTGCTCGAACTGATGACCCGGTCGATCGTCAGGACACGCTGCTGCAGCTCCAGGCTGTCGCAGGCGCAGCGCTCGAGGAACTTCTTCAAGATCTTGCGAAACGCGAGCAGGTTCAGCCCCCGGTACTTGAGAATCACCTCCAGCTTCAGGTACAGGGCGGGAATGTAGTGAGGTGGTAGCTCGTTGCGGATGTGTTCTTCGCTGAAGGTACGCAGCTCTGCCTCCGCCGCAACGAAGCCCTTCTCCAGCTTGATCAGGTACTGCTTCACCTTCGTGTACGACTCGTGCAGCTTCGAAAAAAACTCCTCCTGCAGTTTAATGCGGTCGCGAATGAGGTCCGCGAGCGCGATGTCCGTCTTCTGGAGCTCCGCAAAGCCGGTCGTTTGGAAGAAGAGCGGGGAAAGGGGATCGACGAAGACGGCGGTGCTGCCAGTGCTGCGGTCCTCCGGCTTGAGCGCCGAGGTGGGAGATTTTTTTGTCTGACAGATGCCGAACATACAACAAGGCATCGGCTTCTCTTCCTGGTAGCTGGTGGGTGTGATGGGGGCGGACATGTGGCTCATCGAGAAGTCTGGTTTCTTCTTGGCGACGCGGGGAGTGATGGTCGTGGAGAGCGGGCTCATCATCTCCAGCGCGGTGCCGCGGTGCACGTAGCGGTTGGTGTACTTTGATTCGAGCTCCAGGCGGATCTTCTCGATCTTCTTCGCAATCGGCTTCAGCTCGAAATAGTGAACATAGTTATCGAGGGTGATGTCGGTGATGTACTCACTGAGCAGCTGGCGGTGGAAGGCCTGGCCCTGCGACTGATCCTTGCCTGTCTTGAGCATGTTACACCTCTCCCTTTATCAAAAAAACAACAACAACCTTTTTTACCTCTGCGAGTGTGTGTGTGTGTTCGGGTGTGCTGCACTGTTGCAGAGGGTATTGACGTGTTGAATCCTACGGTGAATGCTAGTACTACTCATAGAAAGACAGAGAACAAAAAAATAATTAAGAAACAACGCAGAGCAAAGGGGAGAAAGTGATGAGAGAGAGAGAGAGTGCTTTGAGATACGCATGCCCGGATCCGTCCAAGGATGTCCGCGTGTGACTCACAGTCTGTGTGCGCGCAAACGATGGGGAGTGGAAATCGCCAAACGAGAGGTGTTATGATGCTGTGCAGAGCTGCGCAACACCAACAACCACAGCAGCCCAAAAACTAGACAGTACAAGTCCGTGCTGACACACCCATCACGGTAAGCTTATATTCTTGAGTATTCTTTTGAGGAGGGTGGAGGGAGGGCGGAGCCCAGTTGATGCGGGTACCACGTCGTCATCGAGAGCATCAACAGCAACAACAACAGCGTCGAGCCTCACCTTTCATATGCGGGCTGCCGAGAGCGCCCCTCCTCTCAAAAAACTGTTCAAAGAAACCAGTGTAACCAACGTTATTGTCGCGTAGCAGAGGAGAAGCAGAAATGCAGAGGAGGAAACAAAGCAAAGGAAAAAGAAAGTGTCGCTGCTCGCCCATCTGCACGCAGCAGACTTCACACGTGGTCCATGCAAAACACGGACTCGTCGTTTGCGCTGTATGAGCAGCCATGCGGCGCGGCTGACGGAGAAGACGACACGGGCACCGCCTCTACGTTTGCCGGTGCCGCCACCGTTGCTCCTGTGCGGTCCAACATCGTCGCGGAAGCACGAGGGTTTGTCGCGTAGCGGCGCAGAGTGTACTGCTCCCCACGCGACAGATAGGGTGCGTACGCAACAGCGAACAACGGGTCCGCAGGAAGTACGCTCGCCAGCAACGGATAAGGTGCAGCGTGCATCGTTGAGAGGGCGTCGCGGTCGAGCAGAAAACCGCGCCAGTGATCATCAAGCACCTGCAGCTCATCCGCCAACGTTGACAGCGACGCAACCAGCCGCGTCGGCACCGCCGCCTCTTCACTCTTCTTTTCTGAACCTTTTGCGGTACCGGTTGGACTGCACTTCGCCGCTCTGGTCTGGTTGTTCTTGGCTGCCGTTGTTTTCGCGACGGCCGAGGCGTCGGGCTGGTTGTCGGGGTGGCCCGTGCCGTTCGTATCTCGTGCAAGCTGCAGCTCCAGCAGACCTCGCCACAGCTGCGCGTAGGAGCATGGCGCCGCCGTCACGAGAGGAGACGACTCCGATGGGGCTGTCAGTCCGCACTCGCCATCCACGCCGGCCCGCTGCGACGCAGCTGTCTTCTCCGTGAGCCTCTTCTGCTTTTTGCGAAGCTGCGACGTTGGTGCTTCACGCTGACCGGTGGTCGTCGATGCGGCTGGCTCATCCGATACCCCCCGCTTTGCTTTCCAGCGGGCGCTGCGAGCGTCAGCTGCGGTACGCATTACGGTAGAGGTGAGAGGCTCTTCCGCAGGCGGCAACAGCAGCGGCGACGGCGGTGATGGTGGCGGCGGTTGTGATAGGAGCAGCGCCGCTGCGACGGAGGCGCTGCGACGGGCAAGCTGAAGCAGCTGCGCGCGTTGATGCGCCGCCGCAGATAGCGACGGTCGAACTGCGGTGATTCGCCGACGTGTAGTGCCTGCCGCTGCCGCTGCTGCCGTCTTCGTCGACGGCGGTGCTCGATTGTGTTTTGCATCCGAGCTTGATTTTGTGTTGTTGCTGCTGTTGCTGTTTCTCTTCACCGATGCCTCTTCTTCACGGTTCGCTGCAGCGCCGTCGCACGCTTGCACCGCGTTGTCTTTCTCGGACGAGATGGGAGCCGAAGATGACGACATTGCTGGGAGAGGGAGGCTGGGGAGGGGGTCAATGAGTGAGCTCCTCCGTTGATGTCTGTGTCTTCTTCGCCACCCCGATAGTCGATGTCACCGTATGAAGGCAGATAATAACAATAGTAATAAATAGAGTCAACAACAACCAGGCAGAGTAATTGTTATTCCAGAAGTGGAGGGTGACGACGGGAGAACAGTTACGGAGACAGAAAGGAAAATTTCACCAATACAGCGCATTCTTTTCGCGGTCTGCCATACCACCTTAACGGAGACGCCGTTAAAAGAGAAAAAATAAGAAAGCATGCTGAATTCCAAAAGTCCCCCCTCCCCTCCCCCCAAAGAAGCAGCACACACAGCCAGACAGAAAAGGGTTCCGCTGTCGCTACAATTATTTCTTTTCCCTTCTTACAAGTAAGAGCACTCTCCACGTGTTGCTGCCATCACCGTTGGCTGCGATCCTGACATCGCGGCTGACCTTCCCCCCGTGTACAAGGGAGTTACACCGTATTAAAGCGTATATGCCTTTTCCCGAGGTCCCCAAAAAGGCAACCTGCTTGGATGATGTAGAGCTCCGTCAATTCTATCTTCGCCAACCGTACATCAATGCGTCGGTGGCCAGCGCACACACACACACACAGCACAGTCGCCCCCTGCGTCTCGCTCTCCCTTTGCTTTGCATCTGCGGAGAAGAGAGGAGAAGCGGCAAGTGGAGGCGTAATAACAGAAGAAGGAAAAAAAAACCCGTTTGCTATTTCTTTGTTTCAAGTCAGCATCAGCATCACGGTGGCAGCGGCGAGGTACATCGGCCCGTCTCGCGCGAAGTCCCCTTCGCCCCTGCACCCTGCCACCACTTCGTCCGTCTCCGCCGCCGGCGTGCGTGAAGAGGAGGGCTGCGAGCCGGGAAGGCACAGTGGAACCTCCACCAACAGCCCAGCCCAGCCGACCACGCCGCTCGTCGCGGTGTCCATTGCGGTCTCGCTGCGCGTGAGGAGCCGTCGCGGACGCAGAAACCGAATGCTGTCGCCTTCTACTCCTGCTTCGGCGGGTGTGTGCGAGCCAGTATTACGCACCGGACGTGCGTGTACTGCCTCGGCGGACGCTGTGGCAGATATTGCTGCTGTTGCGCGGTCACGCAACACGCTCATCCACGGCAGCACGTCTTCGGCGCCGCTCGCGGACGTGCTCGTGCGTGCGCTGCGGGGCAGTGGAACTACCCCAATTTGAATCGCCAGCGGCCGTAGTGCGTCTGACGGTTTGCTTAACGGAGAGACGAAACGGGTGGGCGACCCCTGATCCGCATAGCTGGAATGAAGTAGCGGAGGACTCGGCACACCGTCCCGCGCATGCAACGAGGCTGGCCTGTGAGACAGCATCGAGGGATCTTCAACACCAATGTGAAGAGGATCCATATGAGTTGCTGCTGCTGCTGCTGCGGCGGCACCTGCCCGCTCCGCTTCAGCCAAGAGCAGCTCCGACAGCAATGAAGGGGGTGGAGGTGGAGGACTGACACTTGCGCTGGCGGAGACGGTCGCCGGCGGAGAAACACTCACGTAGAAGCCACTCTCCGTCGCCATGTACTCACGTCTATGTGGACGCAGGTGGTGATCACCGTTCCTACGGTCCTCCATCGCGCGCGGAGGAGATGGAGGAGGGATGAGGGAGAGTACTGGCGGCGAGTCACTGCGCTTGTGCGTTCGACCTGGGTGGGTGGAGGTGTTCGAGAACCGCTGAAAGGCGTCTTCCTCCGTGTCGTCCTCGCCTGCCGACAGCGGAGTTGGTTCGTTCGACGCTGTCGTGTACTCGTGCGCCTCAGCAGTCACCAGTTTGCGCTGAGAGTACTCGGTCGCTTTCGCATTTTGCTGTTTTAGAGTCCGCAGTGCATCCGAGGTGCGGATCGCAGCCGTGACGTTGTGCGTATCGTCGCGGCGTTGGTGACGAGGCGAAGAGGGTGTCGATGCCGTCGTTGCGGTGACGGGTGAACTACTGTCGTTTTTGACGGTGTAGCTGCTGTTACCGCTGCTACTGCGTCCGCGCTTCGAACCGGCGGACGCCCTCGCTGATGTGCGCCTCGATGTCATTGCATTGACCAATACAGTACCAACAGCAACGTCTATGTGTATGTGCTTTGCTTTTGTTTTCCTTTATGAATAGAAGTGTTTTTTTGTTTGTTTGTGAAGATGGGATAGGACGAGGCGGAGGGAAACGGAAAGTGCATCAAAAGCAGGTCTGAAGAGCAGCAACGACAGCCGCAGCAAGAAGAGAATGGAGGAGACGGGAGATGATCGCTTACTTGGCTTGACGTCCGTCAAACGCTCCCTCGCTGGCTTGGGGCGAGCGCCATCTGCAGCGATAGCATGCGTGTATCGCTTTGTATGCATTCTTTCCCATCTTCAGCCTTGGCCGCCTCTGTACATATATGTGTGTGCGTGTGTGTGTGTGTGTTTGAAGTTCCGTAGGCTCATACGTTCCATCGGTTTCTTTCCTCATCGACAGGCTTTTCTTTCCGTGTGTGGGTTTTCCTCTTCATTTTTTAAAATCCACTTCGTGCGAGCGGCGCGGTAGTTGCACATGATAAAGACGCGAAAAGAGAGCGTTTACGGCTCTTGGGGGTGGGTGGGCGGGAGAGGTCTGATCGCGCACGTGTACACGGCAATCGAAAAATAATAATTAAAACAATACAGCTGCATTTCGCGTAAGGCCACTCAACGCGCACCGACTGTGTGATGCGCGTGTGTGGTGTCCTCCCCGCTTTTGCTCAACAGCAATCGCCACGATGCGAGCCCACACCACGTCGGAGAAGCACCCAACACACATCACACACACGATTCGCTGCTACTTGCCACGGCGACCACCACCACCACCACCGCGACCGCCCCCACGTCCGCCCCCACGTCCGCCAGGCAGCTGGCCAAACTGCTGCACCGTCTGCATAAAGGCCCCAATCTGCCGTTGGATCAGAAACATCTCCCGCATGTCGTCCGCCGCGGGCGGCCGGCCGCTCAGCATTGTCTGCTGCGCCCGCTCGAGCGTGGCCCGCTGCGCCGGCGTTAACGTCTTCATCGCCATGTCCATCATGGACAGCATCTGCGGGGAGGGGTTGACGATCGGCATGGCATTGCCGCCACTGCCGCCTGCACGCGCGGCCGCGGCGGCCTCCGCCACCCCACGTCCATGAACCGACTCCACGAAAAGGTGCTTCAACGCGGGCACGGTGGCCGGCAGCGCGGTCACCTTCGCCTCGACGAGCAAGCACAGCTGGGTGATGATGCGCTCCGTTGCGTTGTCCTTGTACACGTTCACCGCGTTGCGCAGCTGGTCCATAACGAAGACGCCGTCGCGCTTTGCATCGGTAGTGTCCTTCCGCCCGTCTTGACGCCCGTCGTCGTGGAAGGTCATGCCGCCCACCTGCGCCGTCAGCCGCTCGTCCGCGGCACGTGCACCTTCCACGCTGCTGTTGTTGTTCGTCGGCGCCGACGCGCCATCGCCCCGGTTTGTTTTCCCGCTCGAGGCGTTGCGGGAACTCCCACGAGTATTGCTACTGCTACTGTGGCCGTCGTCGTAGTAGTTGGTGAAGTAGTCTGCTTGCACCTCCTCAAATCGGTCCATCACCTCTTCTGCGTTGCTCGGCACCGGCACGCGACTCATCGCCGCACGCACGCGCGCCTGGAAGTCCGGAGTGTCCATCGCAGCCATCATCGCCGTCGCGTAGGTGTGGATTTCTTCCTTCGACAGCTGTACCGTCGTGTCGCTCGTTGGAGCGGTGGTGCTGGACATGTTGCTTTTCCCGCGAGAACTGCTGTTGATGTTCGATGGTGTTCGGGGTAAAGCAACAGCTGCAACAGCAAACCAGATGAGAAAGCTAGCTAGCTTTTCCTTTTCTCCCTTATTCAAAAGAGAATAAGATGAACCCAGTGAGATGGGGAACCGCAGAGCTGATACACTCCTCTTGTGAAAGCAGCGAGTCGTCCACTTGCACTTGTACGTCTCTTATAAAAAGTAAGAAAGAGAAGAAAGAGGAGGAAGGCAACGACGGCTGAAGAGAGAAAAAACCCTGCCGTGGGGGAGCAGCGAAGACCCCGTAGCCGTGGCGAGTTCCTTCTCGTTGTATAACGTCTAGAATGAAGTTGAGCTGACCGTACGAGCAACGACAGAGCAGGAGGAAGAAGGGAGGAGAGCCAGTGTGCGTGCACGTGCATTTCTTTCTTCTCTTCATTTTCCGTTTAACAGCTGTGTACGAAGCACTCGAGGACACCGCCCAACAACGTGTGTTCGAGTCCGTCATTCGGCCCCCCCCCCCGTCTTCCTCTATCCTATCCTTTCATTGTTGATTTTTCTTTCTTCATTTCTTTCCGTCCGTCTCCACGCCGCGTGCGCCGCCGGAGTATTTCTTGCCGACTCCCCCCTCCCCTCGACTGAGACGGACAGGCCGGAGGGGAGAGAGACGGAAGGAGCGTGCGGGCTGTTCAGAGGCTACGCCAAGCAACAAAGCTCCTTCATGTTCTTTTTCTTCGTTTTGCTTTACGCGTCATCAGCAGCGCATGACGCTCACAGTAAAGAGCGTTACCCGCTGGAGGAAGAACACCAAACATAAGCACGGCAGTATCGTGTAGTATTATTTGTTTTTTTTTTTCTCCTATTGATTCTGTTTGACTTCCACGAGGAAGCGAGCGATCAGGAAAAAAGCGAGGTTTGTAGAACATAGAGGCAAAACCATCACCAATACCAACAATAATAATAATGATAGGTATTGTGTATTGTAGAAGCACTACCGAAACGAGATGAAAACAGTCTCTCCTCCAGCTTGCCTTTGCCTGTACTCGTGCGCACTCCCGTGCAGTGGCCGTCCCTTTCAGCGCCGTGCAACCTTTTTCTTTCTTTCACCTTAGCTTTCTCACGTTCTCAATATATATATATATGTTTATAGTCTATATTTATAAAATAAGATAGGCCCGCACACACACACACGCACACGCTGCTCAGCACCCACCTGTCTGCTCCACCATGGCGTCGATGACGTCGTCGTCCTCCATACCGAGGTCCTCCGGGGTCTTGGACTCATCGATCGGCGCCCCGTCGAAGAGAAAGCGCACGCTGCCACGCGAGATGCCCTGCTTCTTACAGTACGCGTCAATCAGCTTCTTGAGCTGCGTGCCACGCTTGATTTTGAAGAACATCTCCGCCCCGTCGGCGTTCACAACTTTTAGCGAGACCTGCTGAGCAGAGGCGGAAGCCGCGGCTTCCGCCTTCACCGGGGCCGGGGCTTCGCTGCCGTTGGTGGTGTTGTTGCCCTCCTCCGGCCGCTGATTGCTGTTGTCCTGGTTCTCCATTGGAGTAGGGTGCTTCTCTATTTATAGAGAAAATCACTTGCTTCGTTATTTGCCTGTATAGGTTTGAGCTCCGCCTCTCTCTCTATGCGTGTGAATATGGAAGAGAAAAAAAATGTATATTCGGGGTATTGTTTGTTTTCTTCTTGAGAAACAGATGATAAAAAATATGCTGTATGGTGTGGATGAGTGGGTGAGTGGGGGGAGAGGAGGTTTGAGTGCGGATTCTGCGATGTAGGAGCCGTGGCTTCTTCCCTTTTCCTATTTCTCTGTCGTGCCGTGAAGCGGTAAGCCGGTTGTGTTGAGGGAGATACATAAAAGAAAAGGTGCGAACGGAAGGGGGGGGGGGGGAGGGGAGGACACACACACACGCACACACGAGGTTGGGGTGGCAGGCGTGTCAACCGCCTCTTGCCGCGATGAAAGCCCCTCATGTTTAGCCGTTCTCCTGTTTCAGGTTCCTTGAACGTCGCTGAAGTTTTCCGTGACATCCAGCCCTACCTCCTTCACGATGTCACGCCGACGCAGGAGGTTTTCCGTTACCGGGTTTCTTTTCTTCTGGTTAGTACGTCTCTCCCTATCCAAAAATAGGCATAACGAACGTCCCCGCCGTCTCGTGTTCCGGTCCGTGAGACCGCGTGAGAACAGCCAAGCCCCACGCACCGAAGGAGACGCACGTGGGTCCACTGCGGCGTCGCGTTAGGTTGGCCTCCTTCGAGTACTTTCTTTCCTCTTTGGTGGGCGTGTATGTTGCTTGAGAGAGAGAGCTCAACAGGGAAAAGCACAGAAGAAAAAAAGGGAGAACAAAAAATGAGACGACGCCAACACAAATGTCTACAAGAAGCGAGAAAAAGAAATACACGGCAACGATGACGGCGCATTGCCAACGCATGTCACTCCCATATATCTTGAAACACCCACCCACCCACACACACACACGCACACGCCCACGCTGACGGAGAACCCTCTACTTGCGATACGATCGCAACAAGCGTGGAGGTGCTCCGCATCCTGGCGTTCTCCACTCTCTCTCGTCGGCGGATGCAGAGCAACGGTAACCCTACAGCGAAATACTGATAATAATAATAATAATGATAGCAACAACTATTGTAAAAAGAAAAAGAAGAAGAGGAAGAAGACGAAAGGGCGTTTAAGCAGTGCAGCAAGAAGAGCCACAGCTCGCGTAACGTCGGCGTACCACAAAACCCTGTCCAGCGCGTCCTCGTGTCGTCACCGGGGAACACCTTCGCCACACGGAGCCACACGAGAGCCACACGAGAGCCACTGGGACAGGTGCTCGTTCTTGTTTGCTTCGTATCTAGAAAAACAACAACAAGCAAGCAAACGAAGAAGAAGATGCGAACAAATACAGACGAGATACTCTCTCACACACACACAACACACAGCGAATAATAATAATAATAGTACTGACGAGCACACGCTGATTACTTGATCCACCTTCTCGTGTCATGTATGGCCATGGGAGAAGGCGCCGCCGTGCAGTTCCTTCTCTTTTCTCTTACTTCGGGCAAGACACAAAAAAAAACCAGCAAGGAGAATGAAAAAACAAAAGAACAATGAAAAGTGAGTAAAACGTTAGGCAAGAGCACCGCAGATCTTTCTCTCTCTCTTTTTCCCTAGTGGAAAACAATATATATATATGTGTTTATAAAGCAACACAGGGCAGTGGCATCGTGGTGTTGCATCACCGGCGGCCCCCATCCGCGGGCAGGGATCGTATGAACGGAGTAGTAGTCACATAAAGTGAGTCGAAACAGGTGAAACGCAGCCACACGGCGTGGGGGGGGGGGGGGTGGAGGGGAGAGAGGGGACGGCTATTACGCGGCTGTCGCCCGCGAACAGCGGCACGATCGGGTACTCTCGCGTTCCCGAAACACCCTCGACTACCTCCATTGCGTCAAGTGCATAACACACACAAATACAAACATCATGTGTGAGCATCAGTACATGGAAAGCCGAGAAAGGCGGTAGTCTCGCTACAACACAATGAAAAGGAGGTGCGACACGACCAACAAACGAAGAGAGAGCGCCGCAAATAATATTAATAATAATAATAATAATAATAATAATAATATCAACAACGACAACACGAGAAGAAGAAAAGATCAGCAATGGAATCGGGAGGAGGCAGCAACGTCCGCCATCACGGAGCAGACATCCATCATTAAGAACAAGAGAGAAAACAAACAAACATACATTAACACGAATCAAGAAAGACGACGAGGCTTCGCGGTGGTCGGCGGTGAGCGAGAAGGAAGAAGTGAGAAGTACCAGCAGTGTGGCGAGGTAGCATCCTTGAGACGTCATGGTATGTGTACTAAAGATGTAGGTCAGTACATAGCCCGCCGTGCACGCCTATGGCGGCGCTCCCCCCGCCCCCCGTACATAGCAACAATGGTAATCGTGAAAGGAAAACAGGAGATAAAAAACTTTAGCTGCTATTCGACCCTTTCGCTCTCTCTCTCTCCTCGCTATCTTAGAAAGGATCATTGGTATTGTTCGCCTGCTGCCGGATCTCCGCGTGCGGCGCCGTCGCGGCGGCACCGTTGGCGGCGGCGCGGCTGCTTCCCTGCCGGTTCTCGTTGAGGTGCGAGTTGCTGCTTGTATTTTGTGAGTTGGGGTTAGTGGGGGTCGGGGAGTTCTTGTCGGGCCGCGTGTTGTACCCGTGCCGCGAGCCCTGCGTCGCGCTCGCATCGCTCCCCACGGCCTTCTTGTCCGTCTGCGCGTCCTCTTTAATGATGGGCGGGCTCACGATGACCTGCGCGGGGCAGCAGGCCATACAGCAGAAGGAGAAGGACAAGATCGCAAGCGTGAGCGCCATCATGAGCAGCACGGCGCGGCATCCCTGCGTGCACAGCTGGTGGGTGTAGGGCAGCGGCGGCGGCAGCATGTACTCATTGCACTGCGTGTAGTTGGGCAGACACGTGATGAGGCCGCAGTTCTCGCGCGACTTTGCCGCGTCGCACATCTTTAGCCGACAGGAACGGAAGATGTCGGTCGTCTCGAAGTTCTCGCCGGGTGTGCGGCCGTGATCCACGATGTCCTGCGCCAGGACTATCTCCCCATCTGTCATCTCCGCTACGTTGTTGTCGTAGCGCAACGCGGCGGCAGTGTTGAGACACTTCCAGTAGTTCACGAAGCAGTGGTTAAAGCGATTGCACGTGGTGTAGCCACTCTCCTTCCACCCAGTCGAATTGCAGAACATGCCGCTCGTGGTGATGGCGGTGTTGACGGCGGCGCCGGTGCACACGCAGCGGGCCTTCACGCAGTCCTGGTACGCCGGGACGGTGTCATAGGGAAGGTCATTGTAGACGTCGCGGAGGGGCTTCAGGTAGAAGCTGCATTCCGTCACTTCGGGGTTCGGGTTGATGAGGGAACACTGCGCAGGCGTTATGGGACCATCGGCACGGGCGAAGGACAGGCAGGTGAGGGTCACCACCGCGACGGTGACCACTCCGCGAAAAGCACCGCGCATTTCGCTTCACCGCTTGACAAATACAATATATATATATACTTATTTTGTCTTTTTCACAGGACGAAAGAAGATGGAGAATAGCAATGATAACGGTCGAACACGCAATCACTCACAGCGCTTCACGAGGTAAGACGACGCTGTTGTGTGTGTGTGTGTGTGTGTGTGTGTGTGTGTGGCGGGGAGAGAGGACTCAAGCGGAGGAGAAGGGCAGCGAGAAGGAAAGCAGTTCGAGACTTCCAAGCGACGGCAGAGATACAATAATAATAATAATAAGAGACGTTTCCAGCAACAACAACAACAAAGCGCAATAGTTCCACTTCTGGTATAGCGTTGCATGAGAATGTGAGGCCGAATCAATAGGAATACGAATAGCCGAAGAGGGAGACAGAGATGAGAGGAAGGAGAAAAGTACTGAAACGTCGGGGGGGGGGGGACGGGCGATGAGGGAGGAAAACACCAGAAAAACACCGGAAGTACATACCAATAGTCATACAGACTACGCGTGTGCGACGCAGCACGGTTGGCTGCGATGGCGCGTCAAAGGGGAGCGAGTCGGAACAATATGTACGGCCGCACGACAGCTGCATAAAGACCAGGAAAGGAAGAAGAAGCAAAACATAACGAACGCAGCAACAACAACAACAAAATAGAAGACGTGCGATTCCGATTCGAACGATGCTTCTTTTCCCACCCCGCCCTTAAATCTGAGATCTGTACGATTTTTTATTTCCCTTTTTTAAAAGAATTATTCACTCGCACTGCGGTGAAGGGAGGCGCTCAGTGCGAGTCCCATGGCGCAACCTTATACGCAGTATCAACAACTAATCACCCTCCTACAGCAACAAGAATGGCGGCGGGGCCGACTAATGACGGTGTCCGCTAACGAATGAGGCAGACCTTCCGGGCTCCCTCTCCCCCTTTCTCTTTCTTCCACCAGTTCTTTTTTTTGTGTTGGTTTGCTTTGTACTCAGCTGCTTCTTCTTTTTCGCTTTCTTTGTTGCTTGCACGGCAGCTCAGATGTCATCCGTCGTCGTCAGCAGAAAAAAGGCGATGAGCCCTAAGGCGACGTACTTGATGATCTTCGACTCGTTGAACATAATCGTCAAGTAGCCGATGCGCGGCACATAGGCGTAGGTTTTGCCCATGATCATGTCCTCCTCCACCCACTCTCGCCCATTGCGAAACAGGAAGCGGTCATCGTTGACGTTGTTGTCGCCCTTCGTCAGGTAAAACTTCTTTCCGTCCTCGGTGCGCTGATGAATGCGGTGGACGCGGTGCACAATCGGGATGTCCTGCTCCGGTAGAGTGTACACGATGATGTCCCCCACCGCCACGGGGAACTCGGGCCGGTGATGCAGCAGCAGGACGTCGCCGCGGTAGTAACCGGGCTCCATGCTCCCACTCAGCACTACCACGATGCTGGCTTCGCAGTTCGTGCCGATGGCGACGGCGCGCCAGCTCACGAGGACGATGCTCAAGAAGAGGCCCACGGTGACGACTTGCTGCACGACGTCGCGGACCCGCAGGGAGAGAAGGGTGTCGATGTGTTCCCGCATCGCGACTTCACTCCTTTGCCTTTTTCCGTGTGTGGATACCGAGGAGGAAGGGAGGGAGGAGGGGGGGGGGGTGCGGACGCACTCTGGAAGTCGTACTCTTCAAAACATATAAAACTGGAATAATGATAAGAAGAGACATGAGAAAAGAAAGGGAGTTTCGTATGTGAAGGAGCGAAAACGTCGGCAACAGAAGGGAGTTATTCCTAAGAACATCGAACGTGCAAATGATCACTTGCACGGGCATTGCCACACACACACATACATGTGCCTATGTGTGACACATTTCTTTGGCCTTGTTGTTGCTATGCTCTGCCCGTCTGCACTCGACGGGGGGAGGGGGGAGGAGAGAGACACAACAGCACGTCCGCGAAGCGCAGATCCGAATGAAAAAAAAAACCCAGAGAACAACGCCATGCACACGTTGATGGAAGCGACACTTCCACCGCTTCTGCGATGTCGTCTTCTTCTCATAAGAATCAAGGAGAGCACAGTGAGGCGCATCGTCACGATGCTCGCTGTGGTGAGGCCCCCCTATCCTCCCTCCCCCCGCGTTCGCCTCAGTTGTTTTAGGGCCTGCTTGCGAGTTTTCTCTTCTTTCTTCTTTTTGCTACCACCGTTGTTGTTTACAGAGCGTTATGGTTCAGTAGAGAAGGCGGAAAAAGAATATATATTTAGTTAATCGACCTTAACAGAGAAAAGAAAACCCACAAAGAAGGCGGCACGACGCGCCACGGATGCGGCACCGCCACCGTTACAGCGCATTGACATTAAAAGCTTACTGACGCGATTCGAAGCACCCGCCCCCCCCACCACCATTATTATTATGAAGAAGCAACGACGGAGTACATCCTGCACCGGCACACCCAAACCAAAAGAGAGAGAGAACAGTTATCAAGCGGCGCAGTAAGGCCGTCAGCCAATCCACGCCTTCTTCAGCCGTTCATTCCCCCCCCTCCTCCTTCTCCCCTTTCCAGACAACCTCGAGCACCGTCACACGACGTGAAAGATGCTGCGACTTCCCTCTGTCAAGCCCGGCGCGCCGGCCGCACCGCCGCTTTCCTCCTCTTCCTCCATGCGCAGCGCCGCCTGCTTCAGCAGCGACTTACTCTCCGCGTTGCCGACACACAGATAGGCCAGGTCTGCAAACGTCACCTCAGACTGCGTCGAGCCGCCAATGCGCACGCCGGCGTGGTAGGGGATGGGCGGTCGTGTCACCTTGGGTAGGAAGTGCTGGCTCAGCACACGCAGGAGGTCTGTGAAAAGAAAGTCCATGTCGCTGCTGAAGGTGGTGAAGACGTGGACGTAGTGCTTGGCGACCTCGAAGAGGGCGGTTGTGGTGGCTGTCAGGGCCATGCGCTTCATCCGCGCTGACGCTGGCGGGGCCCCGTGCGACGTGTGCGGGCTGGCTGCTGTTGTCTCCGCTTTCTGGCGCTTGCGCAGCGGTGCGGCGACGGTGCTGTCGTCCGTCGAGCTCGACTGCTGCTGCTGCTTCGTCCCTACGACGCCGTCATCCTCACGCACGTCTCCTCCGCCTGTTACACCGTCAAAGTCGCCCGCGTCTGCGTTTTCAGGGTCTGCGCCGTCGCCCTCCGCAGCCGTCGCAGCGTCCACGTGCGCCGCCATCGCCGCTAGTCCCCCCGCCAGCACGCTCAACACACGGGGCGAATACCGCGTTGACGCCACGCCACGCATGACGCAGTCAAACAACGCACACATCACGGGCGGTAGCATCGCTGGACGCGACCAGAGCAGCTGCTGATGGCGACCGCGCAGCCACGTTTTGGTGAGCAGCACGATCACGTGGAGTATCTCCGACTCCTGCAACTCCACCGCAGCTGCGCGTTCCTGGAAGATCGTCGACGTGGTGGTGGTGGCGGTAGCGACGGACGGAGGTGCTGTTCGGGTGCCGCCTTGGAGGAGGGAGAGCAGCAGCAGCCACGCGTTGTCCATCAGCTCACTCGCCACCACGCCTGGGCGACGCGCGGAGTGACTGCTCGTTGCGGACGCCGGACTTTGGTACCCCATCATGAACTCGAAAGAACTCGAAGATGGTGAAGGGACACTGCTGGAGGCTATGAGTGGGTGTGCAGCCACCGCGGAGCACAGCCGAATGCCAAGCAAACACAACGACGGTCCGTTAACACCGCTACTGCTGCTCTTCATGCTCATCCTCTCACCAAGATTCAAAGCCGCCACCGCAGTACGTGAACGGGGGTGGGTAAGCCAGACAAGCAGCCGCTGCGCGTGCGGCAGCAGCCTCCACGCCGGCAGACGAGGGCGGACACGGAAGAGCTGAAGCAGCAGCTCCGCAGCGGCGATGACTGAGCCAGAGAAGTCAGCCGGCGCTCTCGACGGCCCTGCGGTGGCGGCCGGAATGACACGAAGTAGCACGTTGTGGAGGTGATCAAAGAAAAGCAGCGGCACGGTGTCCGCTGGTAACACGCACAGCACCCGCGAACAGGCGCGGAGGGCGACAGCGTTGTCGTCGGTGGTGGTGCTGCTCGCCGTGTTCTCAGTCGCCAGGAGTGTCCGCACGCGGTTGTGCACGACGAGGACGTCATTGTGCGTGGCAAAGGTCGTGAACAGTTTCCACAGCAGCCACCACGCACAGAGGCTGCTTTCATCACCTTGGCAGACTCGATCCCGCGAGAGATCGGTCGTCGGACCTTCTACCGTTGTGGATGATGCTGCATCGGTGGAGGTGCTGCAGCTTGGTGTCAAGCAAAAGAAGTGCGAAAGCGTTTCGCGAAATTGGTGAGCTGCTGCGTCGTCATCGTCGTCGTTGATCGACGGGCTGCCGGGCGCGTCAAAGAACGCCGCGCGCAGCAGCTCCGTCAACGCCCCGCCAGGACTCGTCACGGCTGCAGCTTCGTTCGGTGCGGGCTTCGTGGCGGTGGCGGGAGCGTGAGCCATCGGCTGCTGCGGCTGCGCGGTGTGCTCGGCTGACGTGCACTTTGCTCCGTCATGACGGCTACGCTTCCCCGCTCCATTGCCGCTCCCATGCGTGCGAGGACCGCCCCCTTTGGACGATGTACGTCGTGTGTGCTGCGCGCTCGCCAGGAGCCGCGCGAAGAGCACCCGGAAAACCTCACAGGTGTTTGTGGAGGCCGCGTGATCCGCCGCGGTTGCAGACGTTGCCGAGGCGACGCCGCTGGTCGTCATCCGCACCATCAGCGTGACGGTTGACGTTGCCCACAGACAGAAGATGCGGCGCCAGCACTTCGCCGCCTCGTCCAGAGCCCCGCTCTCGGTTGACGCTGCTTCTGCGGCGCCGCTGCGCTGGGAGGCGATATGCAGAAACAAGTATTGGTCCTCGTCGGCATGGAAGGGCTCCAGAAACGCCATGAGCGCTGCCGCGTTGTTGCTGGTGTTGCTGCTATTGCTGTCCATCAGTTCCGCCAAGGCAGAACGCGCACGTGCGTGGAAGGCGTGTGCTACCTCGACCACAAAGGTCACCGCCTGGCTGTCGCGCAGTGCCTGGAGGCTGCCGCCCGTCGCGCGTGCTCGCCACGCAGCCTGCGCCGCGCTAAGGCTGACTTGATAGAGGAACGCCATCGCACCCATGCACACACCCCCAGCTGCCGCACTCTCCTGCTGCAGAAGGTCCTCCAGAAAAAAGAGGTGCTTCACGAAGCGGGCGTGAAAGAGCAGTTCGCACAGCTCCCGCAGCTCCTCCTCGAAGGAGAGATCCTTCAACGCGGCGACTTGTGCGGCGACGGCGTCCGCGTCTGCCTCTGCGAGAGATGCTGGCGCGCCAAGGTCGCTCAACACTGTCGCCGGTACCTTGATGGACTCCACGTACGCCACCGACATCCCGCTGCGCGACAGCTGGGGCGGCGTGGCAGTGGTGGTGGTCGTGGTCGCTGACGCACGCATCCGTGCGACGAGCGCCTTCCGCAGCACCTCGGCTGCCCGCGGCTCACTGCGCACGACGCACAGCACGAGGCCCAGCAGCTGCTCCGCGAGTTGCGTAAAGTGGGCCACTGCTTTCATGGACAGCGATGACGCCGCTGCTCCGGCATCCACTGCCGCATCGGCGGCAACACTGCTGCTCTTGTTTAGCTTACGCCATGCGCGTGCCAGGTGTGCGATCGCACGCACCGTGTGCGTCAGCACCGTGGGCCAGTACGGGTTGTGACCGACGGACCCATAGGCACCGATCAGCGAGGTCACCAGCGCCGACCACTGCTGCGTGAGACTGGTGGTGGCCGCCGCCGCCGCCGCCTCAAGTGCGGAGTCAACAGATGGCGAAGAGGGAGAGGTGGAATGGAGGACTTCATCGCAGAGCTCTTCGGCTGAAAGCGTCACGTACACGTCCACCAGCGCACGCAACGTGGTGCCGGGAATGCAGCGCAGACAGCACGACAGCCATGCGGTGTCGAACAGCACAGTACCGACGGCAGCAGGAAGGACGACGTTGGCGGCGGTGACCGCACATACGTCAGACGAGGAGGACACTGCAACGCGCACCGTGGAGGACCGCGCCAACAGCGCCATCATCGCCGCCCGAGCATGTTTCTCCTTCCCGAGAGCAACCAAGCTCACCCAATCCTCTGCGTTCATCTGACTCGCCAGGAGTAGCGACACGTAGTCGCGCGCATCCGGCTGCGGGGGACGACGATGCTGGAGGTGGTGTTGCCTGCCTGCGTGGTCTTTTCCTTGAATGCAGTCCCACATATAGGCCACCATGTCGTGCAGCTGCTGCGCCGGACCAGCGGAGGTGCCAAGGGCGGCCGTGACGGTACGCGCCAACGAGAGCCGCTGCTGGACAAGAGAGGGCAGAAGCAGGGAGACGGCGGAGGACGGGACACCGTCCATCGCGTTCTCCTCCAGCAACGGCTGAAGATCTGTCAGCGTCAGGGTGCCAATGAGCTGGCCGACATCGGTGCTCAGCTGCCATAACGTCTCGTCCAGCATGACGAGGTAATCGTGGATTTGCTGACTTCCCAGGTCGTGCAAGCACAGCGCCGTCACCGCACGACACTGACGGATGGTGCACACATGCTGCAGCACGACTGCCCTCTGCTGTTGTTGTTGCTGCTGCTGTTGCTGGGCAGCCTCCACGCGCTTCATGAACGAAGAGGTCAGCAGCAGCTCCAGCTGCGTTGTCTGCTCTAGCACGGCGCTGGCGGAGACGGAGGTCGGCACAACCCCTTCCAGCACCGCCTCCATCACCTCCAGCGTTAGAAGCGTGCGCTGCATCCGCGCTGCCGCGTGGGCGGAAGCTGTGCCGTGCCGCTGCGCATGTCTCTTCGCTTCTTCATCTGATATAGCCTCGTCGTCGATGCTGGTGTGACTCGCCGCCCGCTCGTCTGCCCCGTCCTCCTCCAGCGACGAGGCAATGCTAGTGAGGTGCAGCAGCAGGCTCTCCGGGTCGAGCGAGGTACCGGCGGCGTCGGCCAGTGCGCTGCGCACACGACTACGGCGAAACACGCCCCGCAGCGCCACCAGGTTTAACTGTTCCTCTGCTTCCGACACGGCGGTATCTTGACCCTCTTCGTGTGATGGATTACTGCTGGTGGATGCTGCTGCTGCACCACGTCCGAGGAGGGCGTCTACGAAGTGCGGTAGCTCGTTGCTGCGACCCACTCGGCGCGTGACATCCTGCAGAAACCGAAGGAGTGCCTCTGCCCACGACACGCTGCTCTTCTCCTCGCTTCCGTCCGCGGCGTTGTGCGTTTGATGCTGGGAGGTGGCCGCGGAGGCGGTGCGTGCGACAAGGCGGAGGACGGTGGCGAGGTTCATGTCCACCACCTGCGGCGCGACCGTCTCGTACGCGGTGAGACACGTCGACAGCGCCTCTTCCACCTGCTGACGCGTGGCGGCGTTGTCGGATGGGGACAGGTTGGCACGACCCACCGTTGCCGAGGCGGCGGCGGCGGCGTTGACGAAAAAATCTTCTTCGGTGCTCGCCCCATCCACGCTGCGCATCGGCGCTACTGCTGCGTCACTAGATGCCCCATCGCGGCTGTCCACGTCATCATCTTCTTCTGCTCTGCCGTTGCTGTTGGCTTTGACGTGGTGGTCACTGTTGCCGCCGCCCCGCATGTGTGACGGCCGGTGCTGCTGTACCTGTTCCTGTGTCTGCGATCCACGGTGCACATCCAGCAGCGGCGCCACGACTTTAGCGAAGAGCAGGCCAAGGCACTCGTAGCCCATTCCTTTGTTGTAGCGAAGATCCTGCGGCAGGCTGAACAGGGGCGCCACCGCGGCGAGCTTTCCGGTGGCGTCAACCGCCGACGCCGCCACTGCCGCGTTCCGATTCGTCTTCGCCTTGGCGGCCGACGTGCTCATCAGCGATGCCTTCACCACGGCAAACATGCGAGCGATGCAGCTCCACGAAATGCCGCGGAGACCGTAGGCGTCCAGCAACTCCACCGGGTACGTCTCCATGAACCGGTGCAGGCCAAGCGTCAGCTGCTCAAGCAGAATCAGCGGCAGATTTGTGTTGCCGTCTTCGGACTCGTGCAGCTGCCGTTCCCCCGGCGCGAGAGGCCCACCGGCATCACCACCCTCGTCCGCTCCCCCGCTCCGTCCGGAGGCCTCCCCGCCGGTTCCCAAGCTCGTCGTCGACGGTCGCAGGACGGAGAGGAAAGAGAGGTACGACGCCGCGGAATGCTTCGAAAAGGTCGACAGCAGGGAAACCCGAGAAGCCAACGAAGTGACGCTCCCAGCGACGCTGTCTGTCCCTGCGTGGTCCGCCATGTGAGAAGGCAGAGACGTCGCCGCTGCCGCCGCGCCGGCGTTGGTGACACTGTTTCCGTGGCGGCTCGCGTTGCTGCTGATCGAGTCGGTGTCACTCGACCGCGAGGACACCGAAGAGGAGCGACTGCCCTTCACGCCTTCCGCCTCGAGTTCGGTTCTGGCGCTGCTTCGGCTGTCTTTCTTTGACCTGGATGTCTTTCCCAACCCACGCCGGGCACGGGACTGTTGCAGCAGGACGAGACGTCGCTGCTCCTGTGAAAAGGAGGCCCAGGCGTCGTCGTGGCAGAAGCTCTCGAAGAAGAAGGGCGCGCTCACGCACCACTGCGCCAGCACCAGCGCGGCTCGCGCGTGCGTGACGGCATCGACGCTACCGTTGTTCGATCGTGCATGGCTGTCATTAGTATTACCACTGTTCTTTTGGTTGGGTGAGACGCCCTCTACTTCTAGGAGGGACTCCACCAAGTCAGGGTCCACCGGCGGGGTCGTCGTGAAGGTATAGAGAGCGTACTCGGAGGCCTGACGGATGTTGTGTTGCATGAGCCGCAGCTCGTCTTCGCGGAAGTACACGACGTAACGCGTTGCCCGATTGCACGCGGTGCTGGAGAGCAGCCGACTCAGCCAGTGCTGCACCTCATCGCTGGCACGGCAGATGGCCTCCGGAAAGGCGCTCGCGCGAGACGCGGCGGCGGCGGCAGCGGCTCTCACAGATGTCAGGGCACCGTGCAGCATGCTGAGACGCTGAAAGAGAGAAAAGGCGGAGAACAAATTTGCTGCCGAGGCGGAGGTGGAGGCGTGCGTGGAGACACGTACGTAGCGCCGCAGCAGCGCCAACAGCGATTGCTGCTGCTGCTGCTGCTGCTGCTCACCTGATTCTTCATCCGACGTCACACTGGTAGTCTGCAACGCGCTGGGCGGCTTGTTCTTCTGCTGTTGCTTGTACTTGTTCGCCACTTGCTTCAGTAGGGCGGCACAGGGACGCGTGCTGTACAGATCGGCAACGGGGTAGCTCGCCTGCACACGGCGCAACACCTGCGCCGCTGATGCTGTCAGCACCAGGCCCTGTGCCAGCATCTGCTCGTGAAGGAAAGCGCTGTCCTCCTTCCATTTCACGGCGCTTTGCGGGTGCGTCGCGAAGAGGACGAGCACAAGGTCCAGCACGTTCGTCAGGAGATGTGCTGTTGCCTTGGTAAAATCATTGGACGACGCGTTGCAGCGCAGTGCACGTCCGCTGCCAATTGCGAGCGTCATCTCTTTCAGCGTCGTCAACAGCTGAAGGGCTGCTGCGTAGTCATCTGGGAAGAGCGCTGAGGGGCTCGCTGCGCTGGTCGCTGCGGCTGCGGTTACCTCCAACACGTGCTGGGTGGTGAGGGCAACGGCGAAGCTCATGGCGTAGACGAGCGCATCCGTAAAACGCGCAGGTGCGGCCGTCGTCGTGCACCCGTTCCACCCCCGCTGCGCGTCCTCATCACCACAAGAAGCGTTCAAACCTGCGCGCTTCACACCATCGCTGGCGTCGTTGTCGCTGATACTGCTGATACCACCGTGACCACGGACGGCCTGCACGGCTTGCTTCCACGTCTCCAGCAGCGTCAAGGCATACACGTTGACGCGCTTCGTATCCTTGATGGAGGTGGCGACGAAGTCTTCGGTGCTGTGTCGCTTCAGGCCGAGGTAGCCGTACCTCTCCAGCTTCTGGATGGCGGCGCACGAGATCATGTCGCGAAGTACCTCGCTCGTCTGCAGGAGCGTTTCATGCAGTTCGGGAATGCGGCTCGGTGTTGACGCAGCAGCAGCAGCAGCAGCACTATCCAAAATACACCGCAAACCGAACAAGGAAGCGTCACAAGCTGATGAAAAGAAGAAAAACAAAAGAGAATACGGGCACCGATCTGCTTACCTTAAGCAGCCCCGTTTTTTCTTTCTTTAGAGGATGTTAATAACTTATCTGTGAAAGACCGAAGCCCGAATCACGCTACACCGGTTTTTCCTCGCTGAAAGGTCCGACCTGCGCCGACACTCAATTAGAAAAGAAAAAACAAGAACACAAAAAGAGGTCGTTGCGACGCGCGGCCTTTCGAAGGTTGCTAGACGTGATGCGTTGCGTGCGAGATCGGTTTTTTTTTTTAGAAAGAAAAGAGACGGAGAGAAGGGGAGTCGGGTTTGCCAAGGCAGGAAAGATGAGCAGGAAGAAGAAGCCGTCGAGCTTGTTTGCGCTAACAAACATACGCAGAATAGCATTCACCGCTGTGAAGAGGAACTCGAAGTCGTGCAGTATTGGCCGGAAGCAAAACGCCAAAAATCAAAGCAAACGTGAATGACACGGCCGGGATGTATCGGATGTGCCTCCCTCCGAAAGGATGGAAAGCAAGCGCGCCGCCCGCTGTTTGAATATGCATACTATTACGTACAAAAGCGACTTCAACAACACGCGTTCAGAGAACTAACTCTCAATAAATATATATATATATATATATATATATATATATATAGTAGTAGTATATGT